TCGTCTGGAAACCAGCTACAGCCACAGTGAGCACTTGACGACTTCCTCGTCGGACAGTTACACAGCTGCAGCCAAAGTAAGCACAGGATGTTCCATTGGTTTCCTGCTATTTTGCAATTGAAAACCATTGAAAATAGCACAAAGCCTTTGTCGTTTTAGTTCAAACCATTGAAAACAGCAAACAACCTATGCGTTTTTTAAATATTTCCAATGGAAAACCATTCAAAATGGCAAAAAACCTATGTGTTTCTCTGTATTTGCGATTGAAAACCATCATTTTAGCAGCTTCGATACACGTATTTGGATGTGCGGTGAAGGACACGTTGCCTCTTCTTTTGCTTCGACACAGCACGAGATCTGCTCTAAATTTGCAAGGAAAGCTATCCGAATGCATTTTTCCAGCCCCCTAAAATGCATTTGGGCATGTGTCTCTTTACTGTGGGCTTGTCGGAAACGACCAAAATGCTCCTTTGATTTTCGAAAATGCTCTTGTGTTTCTATGGCTTTCCTTTTCAAATATCGCACAAAGCCTTAGATTGCGCGAAACCGACAGAGCGCAACTTAGCCGTCGGTAGAAAGCCACAGGCAAATGCATTTTTCCAGCCCTGAAAAACGCATCTGGCTTGTCGCGGATGCTTATGCACTTGTGGTCAGTGTCCAGGCACCAATCTAAATTCGATTTTTGGCTTTGCAATCGTGGTCTTGGTCTTGGATTGTTATGAATCATAAACGATTCTATTAGTCCGGAAAGCCCGCGAAGACATTTTCAGGCCTGAATAATGCATTTGGTGGTGCTGCAAGCAGTATTTCGCCGTGCTCTCAGCCGGCTCCCTTGGTATTTACAATAGGAAACCATGGAAAATAAGACAACACCTATGGGGTTTTTGGTATTTGCCCATTGGTTTTCTGCTATTTTACAATTGAAAACCATTGAAAATAGCACAAAGCCTTTGTCGTTTTAGTTCGCAACCATTGAAAACAGCAAACAACCTATGTGTTTTTTAATATTTCCAATGGAAAACCATTCAACATGGCAAAAAACCTATGTGTTTCTCTGTATTTGCGATTGAAAACCATCATTTTAGCAGCTTCGATACACGTATTTGGATGTGCTTTGAAGGACACATTGCCTCTTCTTTTGCTTCGACACAACACGAGGTCTGCTCTAAATTTGCAAGGAAAGCTATCCGAATGCATTTTTCCAGCTCCCTAAAATGCATTTGGGCATGTGTCTCTTTGCTGTGGGCTTGTCGGAAACAGCCAAAAGATCTGCTCTAGATTTGCAAGGAAAGCTAACCGAATGCATTTTTCCAGCCCCTTAAAATGCATTTGGGCATGTGTCTCTTTGCTGTGGGCTGGTCGGAAACGACCAAAATGCTCCTTTGATTTTCGAACATGCTCTTATGTTTCTATGGCTTTCCTTTTTAAATATCGCACAAAGCCTTAGATTCCGTGAAACCGACAGAGCGCAACTTAGCCGTCGGTAGAAAGCCACAGGCAAATGCATTTTTCCAGCATTGAAAAACGCATCTGGCTTGTCACGGATGCTTATGCACTTGTGGTCAGTGTCCAAGCACCAATCTACTTTCGATTTTTGGCTTTGCAATCGCGGTCTTGGATGGTTATGAACCATAAACGAATCTTATAATCAGGAAAGCGCGCAAATGCATTTTCCCAGGCCTGTATAATGCATTTAGCTATGCCGTCACAGATTTCTGCAAAGGTCTTATGCATTTGAAAGCTCTCGCCAAAGCTATTCACATTGTCATGCTCAAAAGACGGAGTCCGAGTGATACAGTTATTTGAGATATGACTGGATTGAGAAATTTATGATCTCGAAAACATGCAGGCACGACTATTGACTTCGTGCCGATCGCTGCTTTGAGTTTACTCGTTGTCGTAATCTACCACTATAGCACGTGTCTCTCCTGTCTTTACGTCAATACTGTTTGGGGTCTTCGCCGGCACTAATATTTTCTAACATTAATAGTTTTCAGTATATTGACATCATGTTTCTTATATATGTATTTATATATTTATATATACTAGTATTATAAAGTGTTACATATACAATATATACAACACAATACTATATATATGTATATGTATAATATACACACAATATATGTGTGTATATATATATATATATATATGGGGTCACCCCCCCCCCCCCCTGATCCACCCCAGCCTTCTTGTCAAGACTCCTGCGCAATCTTCTTTCCCAAGATGCTTAGTCGTAGAGTCCGACTCTATCGGTATTTGCGTGTGTTCATGTACATGTCTAACTGGTTTTTATTCCTTTATATCATAGGTAAACAAGCCGAAATCGAAACCAGATTCCGGTTCTGGATTTTGGAGTTTGTCGAACTACTTAATTGAGATGTACAGTTTGAATAGACACAGCTGCTGTTCTCTTCATAACGTAAGGGTAAGGACAACTCCTTCAGTGAAAGCAAACATGACAGTGGTATGTTTGGCTTACTAGCAACAGTGTAACCACACTAAACAGAGGTGTTGCGCTTCAGACATGGAAAGGAACCTCCATGTATCTTCATGCTTCAAGGGAGCCTAGGGCAACTTCATATCTTCAAAATTTCAACAGACGAGGGAAGCATGGTTATTCTTTTTTCAGGTGGTGTTGTCAATAGAAATCTTGTTTCAGTACGAAGAAACACAATAAGCCACATTAGCCCCGTATCAGTCGCTGGAACTCAGTGGCTGGAACTCAACGAGCTCTTACAGGATACATCGGAGTGTTTAGGGAAAGAAATGGTCTCCCTCCACCAAACTCCAAATACATTCGGTCACAAGCAGAGTACGTCGAGCTTCTTAACGCTGTATACTTCGTGGGAATTAAGGCAAGCAGGCAGGCAAGCATGCATCTGGAAAGCATTCGTTATTCTTCTGAACACATTTGCCGTTTTTTCTTATTTACAGCATGCAAGACGATCCCGGCTCAGAACACATAATCGATCTCCGTTGCACCACGCTACTCGCAAGAGTGATATAGCTCCTGCCATATTTGAATACAGCATGAAACAGCTCCAGACCTCTCTTCATAGCCTCCGAGAAATGGTGGAAACACATCTTTCTCTAGTTATGCTTTAAGGAAAGCAATAAAACACTTGACTTACCTCTTGAGCAAAGTTGACCTTGACTCGGTTATGATTTTGCTCCACGAGAGAAGAGTTAGTACCGCCAGTAATCGAAGCAATTGAAAGCTCATTTGTCAGGTTCCCCAGTGTCGCCTGAAAGGTACCTTTTTTCCTGGTATTCAGTTTGAAGAAGGGAACCCCAAACCAATAAGGCAAGACAGTACTATTGGGGGACTCACTTTATATGTAATGATATGTAATGATGTCGGAGCGCATCAGCCTCTCTAGTTTGCGAAGTAAAATACAAGAAATACTTCGTCTTTGTTTCAGCAACGGGCAAGAGCTTAAACGGTTAGCAAGATCTTACTTCGATGCAGAAACAAGAACTCGACAGTATCTAAACATGATGTACAGTTCACCGAACATGTGCATAAAAAACGTTCTCAAGCATCCGCAAACACATGCAAGTTTCAATATTATAGAGTACAGCTGTTCTTCTATTTCTTTTATTGAGCAAAGGTGAACTAAATTTGATCTTAACAACAGCTATGACTTTGTTCGATGAAAGAAGCAATTGAAGGCTCATGTATGAGTACATGGTACGGCTGTTCTTCTATGACTTTTGCAATTCAGGTTTCAAAAATCTTGGAGATTCAAGCCTGGCAGTGTTTTCGCATCCCAAGTTACCAAAACATCGCCAGGCTCTAATTTCCCCAAAGTTTGTGAAGCTGGAAGTGCCAAAACATCGCCAGGCTCCAATCTCCCCAAAATCTTGGCATCTATGAGGCGTGCGGGGCTGTAGTTGCTCAGAGTTTGGGTATTTTGCGGAAATTGGAGCCTGGCGATGTTTTCGCACGTCCAGCCTTGCGAACTTTGGGGAAATTGGAGCCTGGCGATGTTATCGCACTTCCAGCTTTGCGAACTTTGGGGAAATTGGTGCCTGGCGGTGTTTTCGCATCCGAGGTTGCCAAAACATCGCCAGGCTCAAATTTCCCCAAAGTTTGTAAAGCTGGAAGTGCCAAAACATCGCCAGGCTCCAATCTCCCCAAAATCTTGGCATCTATGAGGCGTGCGGGGCTGTAGTTGCTCAGAGTTTGGGAATTTGGTGGAAATTGGGGACTGGCGATGTTTTCGCACTTCCAGCTTTGCAAACTTTGGGGAAATTGGAGCCTGGCGATGTTTTCGTATCTGAGGTTGCCCACCATATATATATATATATATATATATATGAGGCAGGAAACTTTACGTATCATTTGATGTGTCGTGTTTGCTTTGTATACGAAAGCATCAATCTAGCTTACACCTTTAGCTGTCGGGGGCTTCTTGAGGCCCTGTCCTCTTGAACTAGGCCGACATCTGGGGATGCATATAATGTGACCGGCTTGTTTGTCTCATATTAGTCAAATCATTAAACGAACACTCCACAACTGATACCCGCGCTAACCTTGCTCATTACCATAACAACAAGACAATATAGTTTCAGTAGTGCTTGTGAACTTGAGCAACGACCAAAATGTGTGGACCCAGTCTAGACTACAGTATATCGTGCTGTTCACTCAGGGTCTTCGTGACTCAGAAAGGAATCCGTCCACCACAGACCTTATTTGCTCAGACGCCGTGAGGTTGAGCTTCGTTGAATTTGGCCACGTCTACATTTTCCCTGCGTCGCCGCGCGAGCTATGTCTTTGTATATGTATATGTGTATCTGTAATATATACATGTATTATCGTACATATTTAATTTACACAAGTACAGGTATCATGTCATGTCATATCGTATCAGATCAGAGCATCATATGTAATGCTGTTATGAGGTCCGACAGGCATCACCGAATCGACAGGGAACGAGGTGGACAGGGCACAGGAGTGTGCAGTCAGGAGCTGCGAGCACACGACGGGCGGGTGCCTGCAACGGCCTGGCGGTTCCGTCACAACCTGCGGCCATGCAGCACCTGCAAGCACTGAGCTGCCTGTACAGGCTGTAGCTGTAGCTGTCTCTGAGCAATCTTCAATGGCTCGGGCCGACACAGGACGGATCCACCTTGGTCACCAAAGTGAAGCTCAAGAAGGGCAGACCTGGCACCGGCCGAAACACCCTAACCCTAACAGAACGAGAAGATCCCGTGATATCTCTTCCCCACCCGTCCAGCAAGCCCATGTGAGCAAGGTCCTTGGCAATGGCCTCGATCATGTGAAGCAATCTGGAGCTCTCATTCAACAAACGAATATCCAAGGGTCCGGCATCTGCTGCCTTGGCAAAGTCCCGGAGACCACGCCCAGCGATCGTCACCTGCCAAACACAGGCACTTGTCTCTCTCGCCTGGTACAGGGACCTGCCGGGTGCCTCCCCGGCGCCGCCGTTGCCCAAGCTGCATGCCTCCATGTCGGTCATCTGCACCAGCACCTCCCGCGCTCCAAGTTCTCTTACTTCAGAATTCAACAGAGGCCACCTCAGTGCAGAAAGTGTCTCGATCTCCGGAGCTCATCAAATCGTGGACGCGCACACCTCAACATCACCGACTGCAACGAGGTTTGCATGTCAGCAGCCGTGCTTGGCCCTTTCTCCGCGCGGCTTCGCGGCGAATCTCCTTGGCGTCAAGGAGAGCGGCGTGGCGGCCGGGCACGAACTCGAGCGGTACGCGGGCTCGGCAGGCTCTCCGCGTCCGTGCTCTGCAGGGCTCAGCTCAGAGGAAGTGCTCAGCGCTTCCGCACTCGGCGAGTGCGGACGTTGGATCACGTCGGCAAACTCGGCCTCTCAGAATCGAGCGATCGAAGGAGCACGGTAGCGAGGAATGCCGGGAAGCTCCTGGCCACGTCACGTGCACCCGGCCCTGGCCCACAGGGGCCCACAAGTCCCGTACGCTCCCGTGAAGTTCTCTCTGTGCTTTCGAGGGGCCGTAGTGCCGACTGGCTTGAAATCCACATTCCGGGCTCTGCTTGCCAAGGTCTCCCAACTCAGGTGCCAGGCCGCTTCGAAAATCGTGCAGTGATGGGCCGTGCAGAGCATGTTCAGGTGAGCGGCCAATCTTGGAATCGCTCGGACCTTGCCACATAGACCAAGACCTCATGAAAGGCTCATAAGGCTCAGAGTCTGCTGGTCCCTCGGCAAATCTTCGGCCGAGGTGCGCCCACTGCCAGGACCAGCAGCACCAGCCTCGTCAAGGACCAGCCGGCACCGGCACCGGCTGTCTCGTTGCTCTCCTCGACAACGCATGGCTTGAAAGGTGCTTGGGCCCAACCGCCTGAAAGCCGTCAGCCGTCCTGCGGACACTTCGCCTCGAACCTTGGCGGAACGAAGCCGCCAACACCTCTCGGAAGGGAAGGCACGTGTCGATTCCCTGTGACGCATGCGCTGAGCATGGGCAGCTCGACTTGGTCACTCACAGCTATTGCCAGGTATCCGTCGATACATCTCCATGGAATAGGTGTCTCTAAACCTGCCTGAGTTCTGAGATGCTGGCAGCTCTTCAAAGCCATCTCTTCCCAAGCCAAGCTACACTCTGCTGCTTCTGTCTCTTCTGCTGGGCCCACGGAGCCCACCAGTGGCAGCGAAGATTTGACGCAGTTTCTGGAGTCCAGGGCCAGCTGGAAACCCACATTGCATTCGAAATCATCTCGATTGCAAGGGCATGGCACCGAAATCATCGGCAGCTTGATTTCCCGGCGATTGAAGCACTCGGAGAGGGGCTTGCCTCCAGTGCAGCAACTATCAGTACTACAAGGGAGTCTGCATCCGATATATGCATTGTTCACATCACAGGCTGCATACTTGCCTGCCCCTACCGCCTGAAACACTTACATCTAGTATGGTCTGACCTGGGCATTTGCCCAAGCTTAGGCTCCTTCGCCTACTGGGGACTTACTTGTTGAATGTGCGCTTTTGTATAGGCTGTTTTGGTTGGCCTTCTTCAAATTTGACAATCTTTACTTTACTCGGCGCATTATCTGCTAATTGGTTCGAGCAGAAGCTGAATATGTTGTGCGCGTGTGAGTGTCTTCAAAAGCCTTCGCCTTTCAGGGAGTGGCTTCGGCTTTTAAGTGAATGCCAAGAAACGTCGCACGTACGTTTTCTTCATTCCCATAAGGCAGATACCGCCAAACTCAGGCGACCACACTTCGTAGTCCTCAACAAACAACTGCTGGCTGGCTGCACGTCGAAGATCATACAGGATAATTATTTAGACTCATGCTCCGGGCTCTCACGACTCTCCCCACTCGGAACTCGGAACCCTAGCCGTGGTTCCGACTGGCTGCCAGGGTTTTCGGGGTTCTTGCATGGCAACCATCCCATCGCGTCAAAGTCCAGGAATTGCACGACACCAGCACCTCGTGCATTCAAATTGCTGCTTTCCCTATTGAATGGAGTTCGGCCCCTTGCTGCCTCCCACGGTCCCATAAGCAAGGAATTTCGTGGAGATCGCACGTGGCTCGATCAGGATATTGGTCACCTAGTACGTTCAGCACGTGTTCGAATGTGGCTGGAGTCTGCTTCCCCAGAAGTTCTGAAAGCGAGTCAGGCACGTTCATCTTGCTGCTCAGATGGATCGTCTTCCATGAATTGCCCTCGTCCAGAGAGTAGATGATTTCATCCGTCTCGGCCAGAATGTCAGCCATGACCAACACAGCCCCATGATTCCCGAACTCATAGATGTGAACCTGGTAGGACGACGCAAGCTGGCGCATCGGCGGCAATGCCATGATGCGATATGGGCAAACAGATAATTTGCCTGGGCCACGGCCGGCGGTCTGAGGTTCCCCCCCCCTTTCTGCGACCCTGGGCCTGCTAGTTGGGCCTTGATGTGGAGACTACTGCTCTTCAGCCGCGACCGGGCCGAGGCGGACGATGCGAAGCATCCACGTGATTTACATTATGAAGAAATCCGGAGCTGCATCGTGATAAGGAACTCCCTTCTTCACCTCCTGCCAGAGGTACCCACCATCCCTCGACAGGTAAGTGTTGGCATCCTGGGGCTCGAAGCCTGGAGAGAGCCATGGGCCAGCCGAGATCTGACGTGACGTACCCACTGCATGGCGAGACGCGGGGACAGCATCTCAAAGCCCCTTGACGAAAGACTTTGCTTATGGCCAGGGCCAGGGCACTGAGCTGCGGCCCAACGTTCCCCACGCCCATGATGATTCCAACTGCCTTGTCGTAGGAATAGAAGGGGACCTCAGCTCACGAAGAAACTCCGACCAGCATCCACGATGCGACCTGCCGCCAAAGCACGAACTTGTCTTGGAAGGTCGCATCTAAGCAAAGCGCTCACACTTCGTTTTGCTGCTAAAGTCACGATTATGCTGGCCGCAGGGGCAAATGAGAGGCATGCCATGGAGGTGAAGGGCGCAGAGCCCTGGCTGACAGGAGATGTTGCCTCCCGAAGAGTCCTGCAGCAGGCGCTTTGTGCGTAGAAGCCACACCCTCTGGTGCCGTCATTTGGCATTTGCTGTCCCTGCTGGGAGGACGCAGAGGTAGCCAGTCCCCGCCGGCGTCGAAGGAGATCCGACTCCGGATGGACCTTAGGCTGGCACTCCGCCCCTTTGTGGGGCATCCTCAATCCTCCCCTTCCGAGCCCGGTGGCATGGAGCTGTTGGAGGCCAGCCGGCGGTGCAGCTGCCGTGCAGTCGCTTCACTGGAGCGCGCCTGTCTGTGCAGAGGTCCCTTTCCATCCCTCCACCATCTCTTGCCGACCACACGACGGCAGACATGAATCGGCGTAAAGCCCGCGCGGCGCCTTCAAGTAGCGAATGGAACGCTCCGCCTGGGCCTGTGTCGAGTCGTCACCGAGCTGGTAGTCAGCCTCGTTGTGAAAATCAGAGGTGATTGGTTCATGGAGGCGCTTCTTCCGAGTCGCGTGATCGAGCCATTCGTGCGAGGCTTTCGGGTCGATGTTGCCTGCCATGCTCAGCCGCGGCTCAACAGCTCGCGGCATAAGAGAGCATGGATAGTGTGGAGTCCTGCAGACTTCTCTGTGGCCGCCCAGACGTTGGCCTCTGTTGAACCATGCGAAACTTCCAATCGGTCGGTTCAAAACATTGCATCTCAGTGGCAAAGTAGATGCCGTTCAAGTTCGTGACCTTTTCGAAGGCTGCATGGCCTTGCAGCCCCACATTGTGCTCCAAGGACAAGACGTAGCCGGTGCCCAACTCATCCTTGCAGTTCGGACTCCAGCTTCGCACGTTCGCACTCCGTAGTCCCTGAACTCCAGTGTCTCAAGAGGTCTGCCGCTAAATTCACGTGGCTCTATCTTGTGTGCGGTGACGTCCTGAGTGCTTCTCAGTGGTGCGCTGTGCTTTGACAAGGAAGGTTGAACACTGCTACACTGCTTCTTGAATTTAACTCAACTTGTCGTGGCGTCCGAAACGTAGATGTTTCCAAGGCCGTTCCCGTGGTTCACGTGCAGCACGACCATCCCTTCGGCAGAAAGTGTACTACAAAAAACGTGGCAGCAAGAGCACTTCTGACCATGCAGGCACCCTCGGATGCATCGAGCACCGTGTAGGACTTCTCCTCCAACTCTGTAGGCAGCGCGGCCTTGCGCAGTAAAGTATAATTGGAAAAGTCAGCTTGTCGCCACTCATCGAACACACAGCAACAATTGCCTGCTGGAAGGTCGAACCATCGGTGCTAACCTTGAGGTTCACGGTCTGCGCAGTTACATCCTTGACCTGCGCTACTAAGATGTACTGCTCGGAGATCACGAACTTGTTCCCACCCTGGACCAACGTAGTTTTGCCTCAAAAAGTCGGCCGCTGTGTTCGAGCGTCGAACTTCTTAGGCGGGACCAAGGCTAAAGTTTATTTGCAAGTGCGCAGAAACCAGAACCGAAGCGCATCAACAGCTTCCTGTTGTGTTTGCGAATACGGCACTCCACTGCAACAAAAACACGAAGAAGATGCCTTTCATTTCGGAGTTGCTATGACCAAGATCGTCGCTGGAGACAAAGTCCACCCCCTGCATCCACTTGCCTCGGATGTTGGGGCTTTTGCTCGTGGTGTCTGCAGTCGCGGAAAAACTCGAAACTCTGAAAACCTTACTAGCTTACACGGCATGATGAAAATGATTAAGGAGGAGCGACGGGGCCAGGGCACACAAAAAGATTGATGAATGCTTACTGTTATGCCAATTCTATGCAGCGACACGCTCCCGTAAATCGTAAATCGAGACACGGAAAATCGTGACATGTATGCACATGCAGAAGCACCAAAGACCATGAAATTGCCTGCAGTCAGGTCACTCAAGACGTTCTGCCTCTTGCTCTTGTCCCTGATGTGGGTGTAAAATATGCGGTCCGCGTGTACTTTTCTGCCCCAGCTGAACTGCACCACGTGTTCGGAGACCGGTTTAAGCGCACGCTTGCCAAGGTCCTGCCGAGTGCTTGAGAGGCCTCCCCAGCTAAGAATCTCAGCACATGGCCCTGGCACAAATATCGAAAAACAATCAAAGCGGCGAAGGAATTGACTCGCCTCGGTGACCAGCAGCTTGTGAGTACAAGGAGCTCCGGGATTTTTCAGCTTGCAGTCTTCCGTCCAGACTGACAGCAGAGCCCAGGAGGCTCGCGTCGGGTGGAACATGAAGGACAGTCCTGGGAAGGTGTTCGGCGGCCCTTGCTTCGGAGTCTCTGCAACGCTTTAAGCACGAAGCTCACAGGAGGCTGTTAGAGAAACACATAACAAGCCCTACTCGGTGAGCAGTTTCATTAGGAGCTAGGATTCGGATTCCAGGGGGATGTGCGACCTCTTGCCAGCTTGCTCCAGCATCCACGCTCGCAAAAACCTCTAGCCGGAATCCCACGGCCACAACCTCAGCACATGTGAGCACAACACTCACAAGGCAGTCATCGCAATGGCTCGAGTGCAGCACGCATGCCCCTGCGGCTAAGACTGACCAAGCGCCGGATATGCTGCTCCTAAGCTTATGAGTATCTGCGCGCGTTATCCATGCACGTCGCTGTATTATGCTTGCTCAAGCTTGCGTTTACTGTAGACATTCACCTATCTAATGTATTGCTCTACTTGTGCTCAGTTGTTGATGTGCCGTTTGATGATGTTACTTTGCACTGATGCATATTCGCTCATTTATGCGAAAAAAATCTTGTCCTCGACCCCCGGCCGGAGTGGTCAGAGGTTGGTTGGAGCCCTTGGTTTGCTCAGAAAAGCGCAAGAACAAATATTGCCCCCAAAACGCACCCGCCCACCCCCGTGCCCACTCGTTGTCTAGCACACTCTAAATCTGCTAATTGGGTACTCTTCACCTGCGACCGGCCGAGGCGGACGACACGAAGCGCTTACAATTGCTTCTTCTTGTTGCTCCCGTTGTCTTTCTGGTACCGGCATGTACTTCGACTGACAAGCTTTGCTCGATCTCGTCGGCATGCATGCATGCATGGATGGATGAGCGGATGCATGTATGCGTGTATGCACGCATGCAGGTGCTGTATTCCAGGCAAATTCATATATTTTCGTGACATCTGATGCAGAGCTATGTAAAGCACCCTCAGGGTTGCGTGAAATGCATTTCATGTATTCTACGTATGTATTGTACTGAACTGCATTGTGCTGTGTTGCATAGTCTAGTCACGCTCCTTACAACAAAGCGATACCTGCAACATCGGAAACATGATTGGAACTTGTTACAACCTATGATTCCCTCACCGAAACCCGGAAAGCCCAAAAGAGTTGGGGATCGAAGTCTTGGGAATCTGGTTCTTCGGTCAACCTTGATGAATTGAGGGTTGAAGGCTCGAGGTATGTGCCAGGACAGTTTGGCATCTGAGCAGGATCCTTAAGGTTTGGAGTTTAAGGATCTGAATTAGGCCAGTCACAAGATCGGCTACGCTCACTCAATACGAAAACTGGAGGCAGTGCACAGACATATCACATATCTGTGTGTGTCTGACTACGTAGATGTATACACGATGCACGCACAGGCTTCAATGTTCATGCACGTGGTGTGCGGGCTGCAGCCCAGACACAGTGGAGGGATCTGCAGAGCTCATGATGAGTCTTGCCACCTTGGACATTGAGCTCACCGATGTCTTCTCCCAGTCACGGCCGTCTTCGAGGCTCTGGTAGACGGTGCCTGCCAAGAGTCCCGTCAGTCAGAAAGCAACAATGTCGTGAGCTCACAACTGGCCGCTGAGAGGTTTCAATGCTGAAGAAGTTGTTGTCAACCGACCATGATGGTGATGATGATGATGATGACGCTCAGTATACAGCTCATGACTATGATGATCCTGAACATGCTCCCGTATGCTGTATGCCTGGCTTCGTGCTCGGCAGTCAAGGTGTCTAGGTTCTTGACCCATGCCACTTGGACCGCGTTGACACTTTGGCAAAACCTCCTGGCCTTGCTTAGTGTTCAACAAGACCTTCTTGCGGTACGGCCCAAGCCAAAGGATGTCCATGATTTCTGCATCGAATGTGGACATCTTCAGGGCTGGGAGCTCGCTGCCCAGAGCGCTTTGCACCGCCAGAAGCAGCAGCTGCCGCATGGCGACAACACGGGGGCTCGACATGTCGTTTCAACTGATGAGGCCAAGAGGCCTGGCTTGGCGTGCATGGGCCGCAGGCAACAACATAGGGCTCAAAGCAGTGAGCGCACACTGTACCACGCACGATACACTGAAGATCATCACTGCTATTGCTATTGCATGTCATCTCCCATCGTGGCAGCTATTGCAACAGCCCCTCCAATCTAATTCAATGGTGACTTTCCATGATGTACAGGACTCACGAGATCTGCAGCTTTCTCCTGTGCACTTCATCTGTAAGCGGTATTCAGCCGAAAGATGCCGAAAGAAAGCTGTAAACGGGGTCCGATGAAAACTTGCTCTTCTTGAAATGACGCGTCACTGAGCTGACTGAGCTCCTTGCGAAGGCCTTGCGGAGGAGCTGCACAGACCTGACTGCGGAAAGCTGCTCGGAGCCTCTGAGCCTCTGAGCCTCTCGCCGCCTCTCACAAACCTGAGGCTTCTCTTTGGTCATCTCAGACCGAGAGTCCTGCGATGACCTCCTCGCAGCTGCTGCGCCCAGGGACGCCTTCGTCGGCGTGCAGTCGAGGTGTGAAACGGGTCTCGTCCCTTCGGGTCCCTTGCAGTGGTCCAGGACTCTCGCCAAGAGGCTGGGAGCCAAGGCCTGCCGCCGAGGTCATGCGCAGGTTGTTCCACGTGCTCTGCGTCCGCTGCGTCGCTGTTTAGGGCCCGGCAGCAGCGTGGGGGCCGGCAGGAGGCTCACCCGGCAAGAAGGGCTGCAAAGCAAAGAGGAGAGCATTACCGAGACTCAGACTCCCTGCTCTCACTCTCCCTCCTTTCCGAGCCATGGGCCGATGTGTCAAGCAGAGGGACTTTGTGCCGAACCTCAGCAAAAACAGCGCAAGGCTTCGATGGTCACGAATCCTCCCTCGGCCTTCCCACCGTGGCGGGGCATGAACTCCAGGACCAGGCGATTCCCGGCCAGGCCGATGAGAAGGCCCTCCGCCTAACAAGATCTCGCCCCTCAAGTGTCAAGGATTATGTGACGTTGACATGGGAGCTCTCTTCGCCGCTTGCAAATTCTGGGAGTGCTCGAAGGCGGTGACGGGGGCACTGAACTTTCGGCAAGCTCTCTGTCGCGTCCCGGCGAAAGCACATGTAGCTTATCACAACAGCTCGATATCACGACTAGGCCAAGGCCTGTTCATGGTCGGAGTTGCATACTTAAGGAAAGAGGCTCGAAGACCACATGACATTCACACTACCAGTCTGCGAAGACATGATAGCCATCTAGTTGCAAAAGTCGCTGTACATGAAGAGGCAGCAAAGAGTGTTGATGGAGCTTCCGTTTGGTGATAGTGGGATTCGATGAAGATCTTCTGGGAGCGACATCTGCAACATTGCAAGCGCTGAACTACGCTTGCGGACGAGTCAGTACTCCCAACAACATCGGCATATCAGCACAACCGAGAAGTATCGCCCACGTCTCATGCCAATGAACCTACGAACAAGCAATCAACACAGGCACGAATGAAACAAAAGCAAGCATGAACCTGGCAAATGATGATGTGTCTACGAGACTACCCCATCCCGCCATCGCAGCATCTGCTACCTATGCTGCTACCTCTCAGCGTCTGGCCGTCCGCTGCTGCGAGCCGCGCAAGGCCACTGCTAGACCGCGCGCCTGCACCACCACACGCCTCTCCTGAGAGACGCTGCGCCGCACAGCCGCACAGCATGGAGCTGAAAGGACACCAGCCGGCGGCCGCCGGCGGCCGGGCGCCGGGCCTGTTGGACAGAGGCCTGCAGACTCTGCAGATGAAGCCCCAAGGGAGTTACGAAGCGGGATCAGGCAGCCTCCGAACCCGAAGGTGTGCATCGGAAGAAGTTGCGCCGAAAGGCGAATTGCGATGCGGCGGAGTGGCCATCATCGGCACCTTGGACAAAGAGTAAGCCAACATCCCGCAAGCTGCCAACAACATGCCGGCAAGGCCGTGGATCACCAGCTCCTCTGGGCGGAAGATCACCGCAGCATCCCTACCCAGTTTGGCGATGCACCTTTGTAGGGGCAGGGCTGCCGGTAGCGGCGAGTGTCTGGTGATGTCTGGTGATAAACTGCGCGGTTGACAATGAACTTACCACTTCTGCTCACACGCCGCTTCTGCTTACCTTCCTCGATAAACCAGCTTGCACTACCGGCTGCTAGGAACAACTGCTGGACTCGAAACACAACTGCTGCTAGCAGAAACGTCATAAACACGCAGCACACGGCTGGGGGTGCGGCTGCACGGCCCTGTGCAACAGCTTTGCCGAAAGACTCCAGACGATCATGCTTGCAGGCTTGCATCGCGCCTCTGGAAGATTCGAAGCGAGCCCGCTGAGAGTTCGAAGAAGGTGTTGATCGACGAGACCTCCCGCATGTATTCACCAACACCGCCAAACATCGAACTGTGAGCATGCCTGGGTGACTGCCACCATGTGGTGGCATGCAGTGTCCCATACTGTACACTGCTCAGGAATTCTTACCAAACATATAGTTCCACATTGTAGGGTTGCAGCTGCCTGTTTTAAACGTCAAGCCCAGGCTCATTGTGAAGCATGCACTGGTGGGACTACTACGACGACAAGCTCGTTCCAATGGGGAGCTTGCAACTCACGCTTGATCCTGTCACTCACCTTTTGAGCCCGCAATGCTGTTCGCTGGTAGCGACTGGTCCATGCACCGTTCTGCAAAAAGTGGCCGCCATCGCTAGTCTTACCTTTTGGTGCTAGAGCGTTCCAGGCGTGGCCGGTATGCGCTTGCCTGAGACGCTGGAGCGCACAAAGCTCTCGGCAAACTGCAAGACGAGGCAAACTCGGAGTACAGATGCGCGAAAATGCATCCATGCAGCTGGCATCGTAACGTGGCTGAAACCAGGACCAAGGTGACGATGGCCTGTCCTTCTTAAAGAAGTACTCGCCCAAGTAGTCCAGCTCGTTCTCCTTTGGGACATGTTGTGCGGGAATTGCCATCGCATGCCATCGCGGAAATCACCTGATCCCTTTCCCCAAAATCCGGAGTTAAGATGGTCGAGCGACGGCCAGGTCACGCACGGGGGCATCGCGGGGAGCCAGTTCCCGGAGGTCCTTCAGAGCGTAGTACCTCTGCAAGTGAAGGATGACATGTTATGACCTCGTTTTGTATTAGACCACTTGCCTGGACATGCGGATGTACTCGATTCGCTGACGTCGGTGCTTGATCTTGTTCCTTAGCAAGATGCGCGCAGACTGCGAAGCTGCTACGAAGGGCAGAGAAGTGGAGCAACGCCAGCTGAGTCAATGAGTCAAGCATCCAGTGCCAGTGCGGCACCTGAATCACTCGGTAGCCCATGGCTTTCGCAACGCGCTCCTGCGAGCTTCGGAACGAAAACCTTGATGCGACCTGAAACCCCGGGACGATGCTCCTGCAAGCACCTGGATGCAATCTTCTCCGTCGAGGCCATGTAGAATCGATCGAAATGATTGCACTCGTAGATGATCTTGCGATCGCGCTCCACGATGTCGAAGGTGAAAGGACCTCGAACCGCCTGGGCCACGTGGCCAATCTTCAGCTTTGTCAAAGCCTCGGCATGTTCAGCTTTCGGTGGCGTGAGGTCCCACGCCCTGCCTTCCACTTCTGGGCGCCGTGCTTCGCTGAGCTTTCGGACAAAGAGGACCACATGCTTGGCTGGCGCTTCAGGCTCCATGCGATGCGCTTTTCGGAACATCAGCTGCGCGGCTTTGGGCAGCTGGGTGTAGGCCTGCAGCCGGTCAGGCACGCACCTTATCCCAAGAACCGTTCAACTACTGGCCTCGCGGTGTAAGTACCTCAGGGCACTCCGGAGGAGTAGCACACGCCGCCGAAGCGAAGGTCTCCATGGGGAGCGCTGCAGGAGTTGGGCGGAAGCTCTTTCTAGCAGTCCCAAGACCTGCAGGAGCGATAGGCTGAGCGTCTGCCACGGATGTGCTTCAGAATGATCCGAGTGGTCCCTCCCAGTCTCCCTCCTCTCGCTCGCACTTCATGGCCCTCTCCCTCTGCGGCCTTTGCCAGGTTGGCCTCGTTGTCGTCTCGTCGAGCGAGGAAGAGGATCTCACAGAGCGAGAGCAGGAGCTCCTTTGGGGCAGCAGCGGATACGGCGACGGCGGCTGCGGCGGATGCGGAGCGGATGCGGAGCGGATGCAGCGGTGCTCTGCCGCGCGCTTCGGCTCCGGACTGCGCTTCGGCTGCGGACGAGGCGCCGGGCGCGGGGAATCGGAGGACAGGGCTTGCAGCTCGAGCGCGCCCCAGAGCTCCTGAAGCCAGGAGATGAGCAACGAAGGGCATTGGCGCCAGCGGGGCCTGGCCTCGCTCATCTCGCTGTGTTCGGAGGGGCAAAGGCGTAGAAATGCATGGGAGTAGAGCAGGCCGAGAGCCTCCTCCGGCGACCTCGAGGCCAGGCCCCCAGGCCCCCAGGCCCCGCCGGACATCCCCCGACTGCGGGTTCTCTGACGGCTCCCCCTTGCAAAGCCCCGTCTCCCGCTCTGGCATGCTCTGGCTCTCTCCCTGCAAACGGGCGGCAAGGTGTCCACACCTGCGCAGAGCCGCAGAGGTTTTCGGGTTTAGCTCAGGGCGGACACGGAAGCAGCGGAAGCAACACTCGCCTCCACGGAGGCAGACGGCGATTCGAGCGAAGATCTCCTCCTGGCGGAACCTTTGCACAGCGAATACCTCAGAGCTGCGACAACCGCGTCTCCGTGTGGAACCTCTCCACGGAACCAAGCCACTCGGGCCAGCTGCGTAGCATCGGAGGCGGAGAAGGGATCCGGCCAGGCGCTGAGCAAAGCCTTGCTTTCAGCTGTAGCGTGAGAGTGCCGTCGAAATTCAATACACACAGTGCCTTGGATGGCCTTGGCAAGGCTCTGAACGATGGGCGGGTGCAGCACGCCCAGATCCGAGAAAGCCATACCAGCTCGGAGCAGATCGCTTCCGGACACCTCTGCGGAGGTCGGGGGCGGGCCTAGCTCTGGCGAGCTCTGGCGAGCTCTGGCGAGATCTGGCGCCTGAAGAGCCGTCAGCCGATCGCCAAGCTTCGCGAGAGCTGGAAGGTCTCGCAAGTTGAAGCCACGGCACAGCTCGGCCTGACGCACGGCACACCGGCCCAAAAGCACCAAAAGCACCCCACCAAGCCAACCGTGGCCAGGAGGAGGGTCTCGGCAGCAGGAACCGCCGCTTGCACCTCCCAGCGGTGCAGACTTCGCTCTTCGCAACAACGCTTCGCTGCTCCGCCGCTCCGCCTCTGCCTCCGACTCCGCAGTGCTGGGCAGTCCCGTCCCGGCCTCCGGCTCCTCAGCGGCTGTGGGCCCCCCGGTGTGCCCCAGTGCCCAAAAACCGTCTCTTCGCGAGGACAGTCGGAGCTCTTGGCCTCTTCGCTCAGCGCATCTTCCGCCGCTTGCACCTCCGTAGCCTCCGTAGCCTCCGTTTGCTCCTCGGGCTCAGGACTGTCGGGTTTGGGATCGGGGCGGAGGACTCGTAGGACTCCATCGCCTTGGCCTGCAGAAGGCCCTTTTTCCTGACGTCAGGCATCAGCCGCCAGAAGAGCTCCTCCTGACATGTGAGAACGCACACAAGTAAACATGTCTAAGCGACAGCCCCGCCTCTAGACTGCCCGTCTCCGCGACTTGGCTTAAAACCGATTGCACCTGAACAAGATCCGGGTGAGTGAGCTTGCATCGCTTGCATAGCACTGGGCTCAATGCCTCCTGCCGCTGCCACGTTGTGGACGCAGCCTGAAGGGGATCAGAGCATCGCGTCGTCCTTTACCCTGCAGTGAATCGAGGCGGGGACTCGCAACCTGAGATGCCGTCAAAGCAGACAATGGCGGCCCATACTCAGCCCATGACGGCCCATGACGGCCCAAGTCGACTCAGGTTCACACGATGCAAGATGGCCTTGGCGCAACGGCGATGGACCTGGCAAGGCATTGAAGGGACATCTTGGCCATTTCAAGGCCCGTTGACAAGGCAGGCACGGAAAAAAAGCGCCATCCGCGAAGCTGCGGCCCTCCATTTCCAGCTGGTCATGTCTGGAAGGCATCCGGATTGCGCCGGGCAAGGATTGCTCCTCTTCCTGTCTGTAGCTTAGTAGGTGTCTGTTAGTGTGGATTGCGTCTGCCTTCTGACATGTCCACTTGTCCATGCGTCTGCTGTCTCCCTGGCTGCATGTATCTATGTACGTATGCTAGTATGTGTGCATATGCAGGATATGAAGGTACGTACGTAGGTGTGTTAGTATGTGAATGCAGTGTATGCATGTATGCATGTGCATATCTGTGCGAGAGTGTCGGGGTGTTCAGCTCAGCAGATGTTTCTTGCTGGTGGTTGGTGTGCAGAGCTCGGTGGAGCGTCGCAGTTGCGCAGAGCGTTCTACACGGCCATGCAACATGACGACAAGATTTGATGCCCGTTGTGTGGCAATTCACCTGCTGTTTAAAAACAGGCCTTCACACCACACAAAGTCTCTAATGGTAGCTAGAACAAGGTAGAACATCTTCCACAGCCTTGCCAAAATGACAGGTTTATTTTTCGCCCCTGCAGGGTACATGAACCTCTCCTGGCCAGGGAAAATCACTGCTACAGTGCTTTCAGATGCCCAGGGTTGGGCCCTTCTTGAACTGGAGCCAAGCCTCAGGTGCCCGTGCACGGCCCACCGCCGGCCCCCCCCAAACGACTTCAAAATGCGAGCAAAGGTGCGGAGACGAAAAGGCCGAAAACCGTGATGGGAACGGTGCCTAGAGGTGAGCACAGAGAGCTCCCAGCTTGCCTGACCGTTGGCACCTACGAATCTAGGTGCTTTGCCCATGACGATGCCGAGCATGAGGGCTTCGACAGTGGCGGAGAGGTTCAAGCTGGAGCCCATGTCGATCTGACATCACGTCGTTTGTCTTTCAGAAGATGCGGCAGTGCACTTCATCCGCCTCCGGCATGTCCACGGCAGCTTGGGCTGCTGCCGGGGCGACAGCCGCAGTGATGGCAGCTGCCGGGATGCTTGCCTCGAATCATGCGGAGCTTGGCATGCGCGAGATTCCATGCAAGTCATGCACCGCGCCGGCCTGTCGCGGAGCCACGAAGCTGTAGCTGTTGAAGAGCGCCGCCACACAGGCCATGGCCACCTTTGCACTAAGCTGCAAACCAGCAGAGACTGCGAAGCGCGAGAAGCCATAGGCCGTCGCAAGAGGAGCCAGCACGGCACGGGAACGAGCCATTGCTATTCTGAGTCCCTGCAACAACGCCGACTGAGCTGGAGCCCACACAAGCTGCCAAGAGCACTGGCTCATGAGACAGAAACACAAAGAAAGATCTGCTGATGCGCGAAATGTCAATCACTGCACGTGCACGTCGAGCATAACTACTGTGCTGACTCGTTGTTTCCCAAGCTGAAACTCCAAATGCTCTGATCACATGCAAATTCTGCTGTTTTGTACGCTGTCAGCCCATGAAGTAGAAGTTGGGAAGTTGAAGCTGGCAAAAACCAAAACAGTATCATGCTTATTTCATACAGAAACTCCGGAGTTCGTCAGACTTACACTAAAACGAAGCTTGCTTATTATCTATAGCAGGCCTTCTAGTTGGCGACGGAATGAGGAAACAAAAACTGCTTAGGCTAGTAGCACGGTTCGGTGTTTTTCTTTTCTCCTCTCGCTGAGGCTGAATCCTCGGCCCGTTTAAATACCCAGGGTTGGGCCCTTCTTGAACTGGAGCCAGGCCTCAGGTGCCCGTGCACGGCCCACCGCCGGCCCCCCCCCCAACCGACTTCAAAATGCGAGCAAAGGTGCGGAGACGAAAAGGCCGAAAACCGTGATGGGAACGGTGCCTAGAGGTGAGCACAGAGAGTTCCCAGCTTGCCTGACCGTTGGCACCTACGAATCTTGGTGCTTTGCCCATGACGATGCCGAGCATGAGGGCTTCGACAGTGGCGGAGAGGTTCAAGCTGGAGCCCATGTCGATCTGACATCACGTCGTTTGTCTTTCAGAAGATGCGGCAGTGCACTTCATCCGCCTCCGGCATGTCCACGGCAGCTTGGGCTGCTGCCGGGGCGACAGCCGCAGTGATGGCAGCTGCCGGGATGCTTGCCTCAAATCATGCGGAGCTTGGCATGCGCGGGATTCCATGCAAGTCATGCACCGCGCCGGCCTGTCGCGGAGCCACGAAGCTGTAGCTGTTGAAGAGCGCCGCCACACAGGCCATGGCCACCTTTGCACTAAGCTGCAAACCAGCAGAGACTGCGAAGCGCGAGAAGCCATAGGCCGTCGCAAGAGGAGCCAGCACGGCACGGGAACGAGCCATTGCTATTCTGAGTCCCTGCAACAACGCCGACTGAGCTGGAGCCCACACAAGCTGCCAAGAGCACTGGCTCATGAGACAGAAACACAAAGAAAGATCTGCTGATGCGCGAAATGTCAATCACTGCACGTGCACGTCGAGCATAACTACTGTGCTGACTCGTTGTTTCCCAAGCTGAAACTCCAAATGCTCTGATCACATGCAAATTCTGCTGTTTTGTACGCTGTCAGCCCATGAAGTAGAAGTTGGGAAGTTGAAGCTGGCAAAAACCAAAACAGTATCATGCTTATTTCATACAGAAACTCCGGAGTTCGTCAGACTTACACTAAAACGAAGCTTGCTTATTATCTATAGCAGGCCTTCTAGTTGGCGACGGAATGAGGAAACAAAAACTGCTTAGGCTAGTAGCACGGTTCGGTGTTTTTCTTTTCTCCTCTCGCTGAGGCTGAATCCTCGGCCCGTTTAAATACCCAGGGTTGGGCCCTTCTTGAACTGGAGCCAGGCCTCAGGTGCCCGTGCACGGCCCACCGCCGGCCCCCCCCCCAACCGACTTCAAAATGCGAGCAAAGGTGCGGAGACGAAAAGGCCGAAAACCGTGATGGGAACGGTGCCTAGAGGTGAGCACAGAGAGTTCCCAGCTTGCCTGACCGTTGGCACCTACGAATCTTGGTGCTTTGCCCATGACGATGCCGAGCATGAGGGCTTCGACAGTGGCGGAGAGGTTCAAGCTGGAGCCCATGTCGATCTGACATCACGTCGTTTGTCTTTCAGAAGATGCGGCAGTGCACTTCATCCGCCTCCGGCATGTCCACGGCAGCTTGGGCTGCTGCCGGGGCGACAGCCGCAGTGATGGCAGCTGCCGGGATGCTTGCCTCAAATCATGCGGAGCTTGGCATGCGCGGGATTCCATGCAAGTCATGCACCGCGCCGGCCTGTCGCGGAGCCACGAAGCTGTAGCTGTTGAAGAGCGCCGCCACACAGGCCATGGCCACCTTTGCACTAAGCTGCAAACCAGCAGAGACTGCGAAGCGCGAGAAGCCATAGGCCGTCGCAAGAGGAGCCAGCACGGCACGGGAACGAGCCATTGCTATTCTGAGTCCCTGCAACAACGCCGACTGATCTGGAGCCCAAACTTAAGCTTCGGCAGACGGTTTGCATCGCACTCAAGGTCTTGCAGTCTTGCACATGTGCGGACTACAGGGCACATGTTTTTGCGAGACTTGTATGGGATGTCGCCCGAGCACGCCCGGACACTGACCACTTAATGACACTGCGGCATGTACGCTGGACATCCAGGTACAGAAGAAGGAAAATAGTTGTCTATGCAGCATCATGAGGGCTTCTCAGATGCCCAGGGTTGGGCCCTTCTTGAACTGGAGCCAGGCCTCAGGTGCCCGTGCACGGCCCACCGCCGGCCCCCCCCCAACCGACTTCAAAATGCGAGCAAAGGTGCGGAGACGAAAAGGCCGAAAACCGTGATGGGAACGGTGCCTAGAGGTGAGCACAGAGAGCTCCCAGCTTGCCTAACCGTTGGCACCTACGAATCTTGGTGCTTTGCCCATGACGATGCCGAGCATGAGGGCTTCGACAGTGGCGGAGAGGTTCAAGCTGGAGCCCATGTCGATCTGACATCACGTCGTTTGTCTTTCAGAAGATGCGGCAGTGCACTTCATCCGCCTCCGGCATGTCCACGGCAGCTTGGGCTGCTGCCGGGGCGACAGCCGCAGTGATGGCAGCTGCCGGGATGCTTGCCTCGAATCATGCGGAGCTTGGCATGCGCGAGATTCCATGCAAGTCATGCACCGCGCCGGCCTGTCGCGGAGCCACGAAGCTGTAGCTGTTGAAGAGCGCCGCCACACAGGCCATGGCCACCTTTGCACTAAGCTGCAAACCAGCAGAGACTGCGAAGCGCGAGAAGCCATAGGCCGTCGCAAGAGGAGCCAGCACGGCACGGGAACGAGCCATTGCTATTCTGAGTCCCTGCAACAACGCCGACTGATCTGGAGCCCAAACTTAAGCTTCGGCAGACGGTTTGCATCGCACTCAAGGTCTTGCAGTCTTGCACATGTGCGGACTACAGGGCACATGTTTTTGCGAGACTTGTATGGGATGTCGCCCGAGCACGCCCGGACACTGACCACTTAATGACACTGCGGCATGTACGCTGGACATCCAGGTACAGAAGAAGGAAAATAGTTGTCTATGCAGCATCATGAGGGCTTCTCAGATGCCCAGGGTTGGGCCCTTCTTGAACTGGAGCCAGGCCTCAGGTGCCCGTGCACGGCCCACCGCCGGCCCCCCCCCAACCGACTTCAAAATGCGAGCAAAGGTGCGGAGACGAAAAGGCCGAAAACCGTGATGGGAACGGTGCCTAGAGGTGAGCACAGAGAGCTCCCAGCTTGCCTGACCGTTGGCACCTACGAATCTTGGTGCTTTGCCCATGACGATGCCGAGCATGAGGGCTTCGACAGTGGCGGAGAGGTTCAAGCTGGAGCCCATGTCGATCTGACATCACGTCGTTTGTCTTTCAGAAGATGCGGCAGTGCACTTCATCCGCCTCCGGCATGTCCACGGCAGCTTGGGCTGCTGCCGGGGCGACAGCCGCAGTGATGGCAGCTGCCGGGATGCTTGCCTCGAATCATGCGGAGCTTGGCATGCGCGAGATTCCATGCAAGTCATGCACCGCGCCGGCCTGTCGCGGAGCCACGAAGCTGTAGCTGTTGAAGAGCGCCGCCACACAGGCCATGGCCACCTTTGCACTAAGCTGCAAACCAGCAGAGACTGCGAAGCGCGAGAAGCCAAAGGCCGTCGCAAGAGGAGCCAGCACGGCACGGGAACGAGCCATTGCTATTCTGAGTCCCTGCAACAACGCCGACTGATCTGGAGCCCGCACACTGCAAGAGGAGGCTGTACGAGGCTCAACAGCGTTATCAGCGGCAACGGGACGTCATCGACAGGTGCAAATCTTTTGTAGCTGTCAGTCTCAGGCCTTTGCCCTCTGACAAGTTCACGCAAGCGTAACAGCTAAATGCAGGCACTCTGCGCCGTAAGCAGCTGAATTTGACAGCCAGCCATCCAACTCAGGGGGACGCATGTGGTCATCGAGGAGCTTTCTCGTTAGCTTTGGCAAATCTTGAAGTATTGCAGCATTGTAGCTTGGCCGGACTGTGTGCATCTGGTCCTGTGAAACAAACCTGTGTGGAAAAGATCTGACTTCGCCGCGTTTGCACGAAGCTGCACTAATCACACTGCATGCCAGACCTGCACCATTTTCTTGGAGCACGGGTAAGCACTGAAGGTGTGAAGCTAAGTCCGGAGCGAATCGGGGCAACTTTGCTGAATCGCCGTGCAGAATCTCATGTTGGCTTCGAGCAGGCTTTCCGCATATGCCTGGGCGAAGGTCTGGCGCAGCAGGCAAGCTTCATCAATACTCAACGCAGTGACTGAGAGTTGCAAAAGCAAACTAGAGCATTTCGCACAGCTCCTTGGAGCACTTGTCGTACTTGTCGTAGCTTGGGCCCTCCATGCAATGATCCTGTCATGGTGGCTTGGTGGCTTGTCGTGTCAGCTTTGGGCCTCCAGGCATCTCCTTTATGTGCTCGAGCAAGGTCGACATGCTGTCCTGGCAAAGACTCTATAAGACTCTCAGGACGGGCTGTCAGGACGACCGTCTTTTGCGGCGTCGCCTCCAGCTGCTGCTTGTGCGCTTTCAGAGTCTCACATCGCCCAGACATGATGAAGCACTCGAAGTCTGGAACTCCCTTCACCTGAAGATCACCGATCACCCCATGCCCCCATGCAGGAATGCCACGTAAGGATCTGCAGCAAAGCGGCCGCCATGTCTTCGAAAAGTAGCGAAGCATGGCCCCGCGATGGCTCCTGCGGAGCCGGGTTCGGCTCTTCAGGTCACGCAGTGCTCTGCTCCGCTCCGCTGTGCTTTGCTATGCTCCGCTCCTCCCAAATCTCACACCGCTGCTCTGATTCACGAAACTCGCAGGCATGGCAGGCACTGCCCATGCTGGTGCACTTTGAGAGACCTGGGCCGGAAGCAGGTTTTCGGGAGAATGGACAGAATGAACTAGAAGAGAGATGCCTCAGACTTCAAGCCTGGAGGCATCCCGATCTGGAGGCTTTGATGATCTTGACATGCTTTGGCACAATGGTCTGGTCGTGATGAGTTCCCTTCCTGCAAGCTGTGCCCAGTCCTGAGATTGCACCTCCGGCCCTCCGGAGACCGCACACTCCCCTTCTCCAACCCCCGAAAAGCGCCAGGATGCCTAGTGATAGGGGCGATGCCTGCGTGGCGAGCATAACCTCGTGCTGCACACAAGCTATGCTGTGGCCTTCCTTCTGAGACCGTCAAACTGAAGCACGGATGCACCACGCAAGCCCTCACTTAGGAGGCAACCACTGATTTCGACTCCGTCTCGATTGGGATGGTCAGAGTCTGGTGGTTGTAGAATGCCACACCGCACGCTGCAAGGACCACGGAGAGTACAAGTCCCACTGCTATCGTTAGCGCTGGGCACTGCCTCAGACTCAGACCATGAGCAGAAGCACATTCGTAACCCCGTAACTTCCAGCTCTAAGTGCAATCTCAAGACATTCGCTGCTGCTTGATGTCGGGAGGACGCTCGATGAGCGCACCGTTCTGATCAGCACGCAGAATTCCAAGTGCCAGCGGCTCGCTCGCACGCTCCCTGCGTCCCTGCCTCCATCTCATTGCTTGTGAGCTCAAGGGGCCTCGTGCAGGCGCTTGGAACCAGGGCTGGCCGGTGGCTGGAGGGGCTGAGCGCGCCCCCTTGCCGGGCCCGCCTCATACTCGCCCCGCTTCGCATCACCAGGCCCAGGATTTTTTGAACCCAAGCTGCAGTCCGTTTGGACTCTGATCCATGCGAGCAAAAGCCTAAGCCCTCAAGCCTTGAGCGCCTTTTGGGCTCGCTTGTCATGTGAGATGCAAGTGGAGAGAGACCATGCCTTTTGCGACCCAGATCTCGCCAGACACACGAGAAAACTGTGCTCGCACGCCACTTACGGTTTGTAGAGCCGTCCGCGGCGGATGTAAGCCCTCAGCATGACGAGCGCAGATGTCAAGCTCGGCAGGGTCGCCCGGAAAGGTCTTTGCAGCCAAGCAACAGCACACCTGGAGGCACTAGGCCCTCGATTGCACCTCCACCTGGGCCGCAAAGTTCATTATGCTCAGCCCCTTAAGACTCTACAGTAAGGTCAATCTCAGAGGCAGCCACCCTTGGCAGCCTGGGCAGGAGCCGAATTCAAAGGAAACAGATTGAGCATTGAGGAGTCCGAAGTGCCTCCTTGACTCGCCACGTGTACTGCGTTCGTGTTCTGATCTCCTTGGCATGTGCCAAGGACAGGAGCGGAACTCCAGCAAATCGTGGTACGGCGACGGCAACATCTCCGAGACCTTGGTGCAGCCCACGTCAGCCAAGGCTCCGTTGAGGACAGGTTGCCCTCGATGAAGTGAAACTGCTCCTTGCAGTCAAACAAAAATGCGGAGCACGGCGCCGCGGCGCCGCATCCCTTGACGAGGGCCCCTGCCGGCATCTCCATCCACCGAAGCCGCGGTCCGAAGGCCCTCAGCCCGCTGGGATCCGCCTCCCGCAAAGCCCGAGGCACTGTGACAGGGAACCGGACCCCCATAAACCCGCGCCTCGGTCCTTGCGACGTCATAGCCGGGGCGGGGGACGACGAGGAACTCGAACCTCAGAGACAGAAAGAAGAGGAAAAACAAACTCAGTCTGAGTCTGAGTCTCTCTCTAGCATGTCTCTGCAAATGGGATCACCTCCACCCAGTCTGGGCCTTCTGGGGCGATGGCTCCTGGAGCAGCTTGTGCCCTGTGACGATTTCCCTCTGCGCCTCCCATAGGGCGGGCGCGGGCGCCGAGCGGCTTCGGAAGTCGGTCGGACGCAACGCGCGAGGCGGGCGCGCATGGGCGCGCGTTGCGCGGCGCGAGGGCCTCGGGCATCCCCTCCTTCCACTCGGGATTCAGGGACGTCCACTCCTGAGGGTGAAATGAGGCAAACGCACGCGGCCGCTCGCAGTGAGGCCGAGGACCGCACAGCTAGATTGGTTCCTGGCTGGAGCCAGTCGGACCCGATCACGAACCTAGGGACGTGAACAAGCTGCCCGCGTTACCGCCCGCAACACTCGCCGCTGAGCTGAGCTGCGCGAACTCTGTGCTGGGACTTCTCTCCTGCACAGCTGTCAGTGTCATGTCGGCCAGTAGCATTGGCAACACCAGACTGAGTCCTTAAGTTCGACAAGAAGATCGTACGTGAATGCCGCCATCTTTTTGCCAATGTCAACGTCGGAGACCTGCCGAGAGCCGAGGGTTTGCTTCAGCAAACCCTTGAAACGGGGGTCCTTGACGGGAAAATCGGGGCTGAAGACGGTGTTCACCGCTATCTGACACATGCAGTACCGGTCGATCGCCGGCGTCTTCAACTTCCTGAAATCTCACTCTCAGAGCTATGGCAGTTCAAGGCTCGACGCAGCTTCAGGTCCCGTCAGGTCCTACAGTAGAAGAGTAGAAAGGTCCGAGTGTCGGCTTGTCTGGGCGCGGCCCGCAAGGCACAAGCCAGACTTCATCAGCACAGCCGCTGTGCACCTCGCGAGGCAACTGCAGATGCACGCGACTTGCACAGACAGCACAGCCGTGGCACAATCTCTGCAGCGCATGTCAAGTGGGAGTTCGTCGGAGGGTCGAAGGCCTTGGTCTCAGTCTCTCAGTCTCTCAGTCTCTCAGTGATCCCCATCAGTCGCTTGGAAGCAGCATTCCGAGGAGAGGCACTCCTCCGTAAATGGCAACTCTCCGCGGTGCAGGAACGGCCTGCACAAAGTGTTCAGCTGTCAGAGCACACGCGAGTCCCAGAGCGCGGGGCCTCTGCCTCTGCCTTCGGATAGGCCATGCCTCTCTCCCCCTACTTCTCCGTTTGGGATGCGATCTGATTCAGAAAGCCAGCGTTGGAGCCAGAAGTTTTCAGTGGCAGAAGCCTTGCAAACGGCGAGCAAGCCGGTACTGTGCATCCAGTGCATCTGAACGAGGCGGAAGACTCGGGCGGTCGGAGCAACCTCTTGCCACCCTTTTGCGAGCGCTGCTCTGCCAAGCATCGACGTTCTCTCTTTCGAGCCCCTTTGAAGCTCGAGGAGCAAAGTCATGCCGGGTGCAGCAAGGACGGCTGCCGCGATTATGAATTCGAGTCAGCGCACTTCAGCCAACTCCTGACACAAAGTCGCGGATGCCAACTTGCAAGCACGGAAGCTGAGAAAAAAAGGGCTTGTGCGGAAGGACATGCTTGTAGGTGCTCGGGGTCAGTGCCAGGTCGGAAGAGCCAAGGATGCCAAGGGTCTGGCGGTCGGTTGGGGCAGAAGCGTAGGCAGCTGACGTGCAGGCTTCGGTCGGTCGGTCGGTGGTGTGCAAGGTGTGGCATACCTAAGACGTCTCCCTTTGCTGGCGGAGTCCCAGTTTCTCAGCTCGGGTTGCATGTGGAGAGAAAAGTGTCTTCAGCAAAGGTGCTGCGAGGAGGGTTGACCCCTTGCCCTTTCTTCCTCGGCTGGGTGGCACGAATAACTCTGCCGAGTCCTTCGTCACAACTCTCTGCATTTGACCGGTCCTCGGATGCGAAAAGCGGGAAGTCACACACTCCGTCGGCAGCGGATGCGGCCGAGCATCTTTGGGTCCTCCACGAAGAACTCGTGAGCTTCGTCCCCGTCCAAATCTTGCCGGAGGCCGACCATCTCAGCTCAAAGATCCGCTACGCCCCGCTGCGCCCCGCTACCCTTTCTGCTCAATCCTCTGTCGGACTGGAGGGTCTGACAGCTGCCGTCGTCTGCGCTTGCGCATCTGGGTTGTCCTGCAGGCGACCGGTCACGGTTCAGGCCAGGCCAGACCTCCCCGCTCGCGCCGCTCGCGCCGCTCGCGCCGCTCGCGCCGCTCGTGCTGGCTGCCTGCACCACTCGCGAGTTATTCCGCTGACCTGAGCTTTGCAGTTTGCGGTGTTTTTGTTTCCCTTGCATCCAACTGTGGGGACCGCACGGCCGCTCGGAGAGGGAGTCGCCTGGGAGCGGGACGGCAGTTCGACGGAAAGTCCCCGGCTTTGTGTCTGCCTTTGGTCGGGAGGAGGCCGAGGTCGGCGAAGCGGAGCCGGGTGCCGTCGGTGCCGTCGGTGCCGTGGCTCCGCTCGGAGCTCCACTCGCGGCTCCGCTCGCTCCGAAAGGCTGAGACTTGGGGGCACCATACCTCAGCCGTCGCTTCGGCGCAGAGGGCCTCGTGCCTCGCGCCCGGCCGGGTCACTTCTCAGCGCCAGAGGAGGACGCACAGCCCATGGAGTCCTCGAAGGGATGTGTTCGGTGGGCTGGGGCGCTGCTTCGTGCTCTTCAAGTTGGGGACACACCGCAGGCCTCGGCGATGGCAGAGCCGGGACCGAGTCTGAGCCAGCAGCGACGGAGGCAGATAGTCGGCGGCTCTCAAGTGTGCAGCTCTTCCTTTCTTACAAGGCCCTTCACAGCTCTCTCTTTCCCGCGTCCTCTCGTGGGCTTCGACTTCTCCCGTAAGCAGTGGCAACTCACTTCCTCAGATGACTGCAGAATCGGTCGGCGGGTGACACTTCGAAACCGGCGCCGAGATAAGGCGCCGGCAGCTTCTTCTTGGGGCGCAGCTGGTTGGAATGGCCGCACCTTTGCCGCAGCCCGTGCCCTATTCTGGGAACCGCGGAAGCGCTTCTCCGGGGTTGCAGCTTCTTCTTGCGGCAGTTCACGGCCCTGACCAAGAGCAATGGATGCTTTGGTTCACTCTGGTATACGAATGTGCAAGCCGTCTGAGGCCTGGCGTGCAAGCGGGCATAGCATTTTCGGCAGATCTGCGGACAAGAAGGGCATCAAGGGACAAGCAAAAGCACTCAGTCATGCTTCCTGTCACCTGGGCTGCCTGCCATCTTCTCGCAGTTGAACTTTCGCGCCAGCACCGCCAAGGAAGGCTCAATGACCTTACAGAGACAAGGGCGACTCGGTGACCATTCTGCCCCCATCCTGGGCCCCCTTGCTCCACCACGGAGGCGCAGCACCAGATGCAGTGTCGACTCCTCGCAGCGCTGGGGGCTGGCGGTGGGGGGTCCGGGGTCGGAAGTGCTCAATCTGGCCCAGAGCGCAGGGCGAAGCCCGCCCGCCTTCTGGATATTGTAGTCGCTGAGCGTGCGGCCATCCTTGCGTGCTATTTATGCTCCTCGGCGGCTACCCTCGGCGTCTTTCGGCCGCGACCTCCAGCTGCTTGCCCGCGAAGATCAGGCGCTGCTGGTCGGGCGGGATGCCTTCCTGGGTAGCATAGGCCGTGACATCACTTCAAGCAGGCACTGCAATGTAGCTCAGGGCATGTCCTTGTCCTGGATCTTGGCCTCTCAGACTACGTTATCTGAGCTAGAAACGGAATGCTCGCGCCTCAGAAGTACATCGAGTGAATCGAGTGCGTGCCTTCACATTGTCGATGGTGTCAGACGCCTCAACATTCAGGGTTGCATCCAGCTTGTCTGACGGCCTCTGCAGAAAGCTATGCCTCGACATCCAGGGTGATTGTCTTCCCTGTCAGTGTCTTGACCTGGAGAGCAAAAGTTGACAAACGCGACGATGAGGGTGAACTGGTGAACAGCTTGCTCAAGCTTGGATCACAGCAAAAATCTGCATGGCTCACAACCACAGCCGGCCCCTTGAAGCCCTCTTGAGAGAACAGCTGTGAAGGCGGAGGGGATGCGCAGGACTGTGCTGTGTCTCAACATTCACACATGATGTGCCCGGAAGCATAACCTCTCCCAAGGCCAGGGATCCTAATCGAGTGCACCTTGATCAAGCACAACGGAGATGTCCGAAGAAGGCTTTTTCTTGACTTTGGCTCACATGTCCATGAGGTCGTAGGACATGGCGCCAGCTTGGCGTTCTCGCAGAATATGCGGACTCGTCTGACTGTGGTGCACGACTGACGACTAGATGCTCCTGCAGACATGTCCAGCAGGCTCGTCTTCCGCACATAGGACTCGCTCGTCACTACCTGTATGCTGATGCAACCGGAAAAGGAAAGACAGCTGAATTGTCAGCATACCACCACACCTCTTGCTCGAAACCGCTGATCCTTGCATCCGGGCAATATCAGATCAAAGCATAAGCAGAAAGCACGCTCGAAGCATCGCGCCTCTGCGACAGTTCCATGATCTGCCCCAGCTTTCCCTGATGCACTCAGGAAGAGGCACGAACCGGGAAAGAGTCGCTTTGCGATCTGCCTGGAGCGTCTGCATCATGTCCATGTCCAGGTTCTCAGCATCCTCTGCCAGAACGAAGCGTAGCGAACCCCCACACCCCGCTGCAGCCGTGGCTGCCGTAGCCCTCTGCCCCCGCCCCCCCCCACCCCCACCGCCTCGAAGGACACGTTGCCGGTGCGCTGGTCGATCCTCGCCTTGGCATCGGCGGGGCGCCAAGGGTCGTGGCGAAACCTCGGGCTGGGCGGGGGTTTCTCTGTTCTGGGCCCGGCCTGGATCTCGTTCTCGGAGATCATGTCGAAGAGGATCGCTTCTGCCTGCATTGCATGAAGCCTCCTCAACAATCCAGAATGATTTCAGTGGCCTCGGCATGATCGCCTTGTATGCCAGCCTGTCGACAGTGCCAAGAACTTGCACAGCTCGGCTTGGCAGCCGGCTTGTCAACGACAGGCCTCAGAAGCGATTTCTGCCAGCGACAGCGTCAGATACCTGGTGCCGGAGTAGGGGCCGCAACTGCCGCACTAGGACTAGGAGCAGCAGTCCGATCAGGGGCTCACGTCTTGGTCAAGGTGAGGATCTTGTGTCGCCTCATGGCGGAGAGCACCTGACAGTTCTGCCACCACGACATCTGTAAGGCTAGCTAAAGACCGCCTGCTTCACAAGACCCAGATTCTGATCTGCCTGGGCATGCAATCATCCAAAGGTCGCACAAAGGAGTCGCAAGGCTTCCCACCTCGATGGCCGGCTGCTTCTCTTCGATAATCCTGCTGACTGGAAAGATGCAATCGCTGCCCGGGTTTGCACGGGTGCATCCGCACGGATGCCTCTGCAGGCCGGCGATGTCTGAAGCCTTGAAAGCCTCAGTCACATGAAGCTGCAACATGGCCGGATCTGTCTGTATCTTTTTAGCCGCCTCGGCAATGTCCAGGACGTAGCTGGGGCTTTTTGAATACCTGGCACATGTCAGGATTGCCAAATGCAAGGCACAAGCCCCAAACAAGGCCCTGCCTCACAAGGATATGCGATGTGTAGATGGGCAGCAACTTGACCTCGCCATGCACCTGCATTCTGCGCCAGCAAAAAGATTAAAATCCTTGCTTGGTCACCCTGTCAAGGATTTCCGCCGGATGCTTTCCCTGCGGGTGGCTGTTTTCCCTCGCCGATAGTTCACAACCGTGCGAGTAGGATAGGCAAAAGAGCATTGTTTTGCCTATCCAGCACGTGGACAACATCACCCTGGCTATGCCGGTCCCCCCGGTTTCTGTTGGGGGAGGGCTTTGCCCCGCATATGAAAGGCCCAGCGATCGATGGGTTTACATGTTCTGTGTCAATAATGTCTAACGGGGACAAGTCTCTCTCTCCCTGGCTCCCTCTTTCTATTTCTGACTTTGGCTTCGACGCGCTGAAACCCTAAACCCAGGAACCCTTAACCACGAACCCCCGCCCCTCTAGAAACCTTGAACCCTGAACCCTGAACCCGGAATCTGGATCCCAGTTGCTAAAAACCTCTGAGCTTTCGCCCACGCTCACTCTAAATTAATGAGGTTAGAATGACTAGAAGCCTCAATTCCGTCATGATGCTCACTGCCTGCCTCTTCGATTTCTCTTGGCTTCTTCATCTGCTATCATTGTTTTTTCGCGAAGAAGAAAACAGTTTGGCAAGTAGCAGGAAAGAGCACGATCCACATCCACAGATCCAACCTACAAAACGAAAAAAACGCTGAGGACATGAACTCTTGTGCTGTTTCGGATACTTTCGATTTCTCGGATTTCAAAAGAAAACGAATAGGCAGGACGCCTCGGTCATCCCGGCGAAAACGACAAGAAAGGAAGCTCATTGGATAAGACGAAGGCAGCGTAAAGGTTGGATTCTGTTGGAGGAGTTTGTCTTGTGGGTGAGACACGAAGAATGAGGTAGACTAGGCGTGATTCACTGTGTGATCTACTTCCACTGTCTTTGTCACAAAGAACATAGAAACGTTTCGTGATCCCGCGAAATCTCAACACAACAAAATCATGACCTGCTGCGGAACTGTCAGAGAACAGTAACAAATCACATCGTTGTAGATTCTTGCCGTGTGCGGAGATTGTTGTGTCAGTCGCTCAACATGAGCTGAAAAGTTGAACTTTGGGAAATGTCGCAACATTGCTTATGTTTCTGGCCACTGGGGATTTAACAACAGCTAATGAAAATCTGGCCTCTGGGGATTTGGCAACCGTTCAACATGTTCGAAGTTTGTAAAAACTTTTAAAAAAACGTTTTCAAATCTGGCCCTGGGACTTGTAAAGACTTGAGAAAGGTTTAACACTGTTTCCAAATTTCCAGAGGCAAAGAACGCCCGACGAAGCGCGACAGCATTGCGGTTAGACTGTTCATTCGTACCCACTAGACCATAAACCCTGAAACTAGAAAACCTAAGATCCGAGAACCCGAAACACAGAAACCGCAAACCCATCGCTGTCGAGTAGCGAGTGGTACGAAACCTCAACCCTGAACCCAGCCCAGAAGCCCTAGACCCAGAAACTCCAAACCCCTGCTTGGAAGCCCAGAACCCTGAACCCAGAAACCATAAAAACCACCAATGCCTCATAAACTTTGGCCCTCAACCTTAAACCCAGAAACCCCATTTGACGACCACTCAAAAATACGGAAAAATCCGACAACACGAGGGACCCCGGGTCAACAAAATCGAAGGGGCACCAGAATAAACCGACCCGCTGGCTGCTTGCCCTCAAGTTACGGATGTCAGCCGAGCAGGGACCCAACGACCCCCCAAAAAAAGGAAGAATGCCTGGCCTTAAGGCACAGCAGCACGTACTTTTTGTACGCGTCCGCCTGTCGGACTTGGCAGCCACAGGTGCCCAGGACTTCTCACGGGCAAGGCCTGGATGGCACTTAGACAGGTTGCGGGGCCTTTTTTGCGGAAAGCAGAGGCACGACAGGACAGCGCAACAGCGGCTCGTGTTCGGCCAAGGCTCATGTGAGGACCACCAAAAGTAGCTGCAGTGCTTTCAGGAACTCGCGCGTCCCTGCGAAGGCGTTCAATCATGCCGCACAAGCTCCGATCTCCTTGCAAGAGGACATCAGCACTCTCCCGAGTCCCCAGTTTTGCTCATCCGTTCTGCCCCGTCTCACTGAGCTCCAGCAGCTCGCGGGTCATCTGCGACCTGGGAAAACTATGAGGCACGAAAGCCAAGTTCCGGACGCCTATGTAAGGCTGCAAGGGCATGAAGCCGTCGTTTTCGCTTTGCATTCTCGCAAAGTCAGGCGAGCCGGCTCCCCACCAAGCACCTGATGTGACCCCTCTCCCAAGAGATGCGCCGGCAGCTCTTCTGCCAGGTCATCGACACGACCTACTTTGTCTACACCATCGCTGAGGTCGCAGGTCGCTGCATCTGCACTTCGCCAACGTGGTTTGGGGAAACTCCTCTGGGCCCCCGACTCTCCGTCACTGCGCAGTCACCGGACGACTCTTTGGCCCGGGCCCCGGAGGCCGGGCCCCAGAAAGACCTGCGTGCGCCGCAGCGCCGCTTCCGCTGCGACCGCTGCGACCTGCAGAGCCTCCGCTGCGCGGCCAGGACGACGTTTGCTCTCAGAGAGTTTTCTCAGCAGCCGCATAGCCTGTGCCACTTCGGCCTCGGCGCCCAAGGGCTCCGCGAAGCGCCGTTCTAGGAGCTCCCCGCGTTCGGTGAGGAGTCGGAAGTTGGCTCCGGGACCAAGGAGCTCATGGGGGGTCGCCTCGAAGTCCATGCGGGCTCCCTCTGCAAAGAGCACCCGCACAAGCCGCCGCTGACCCCACCGGAATACAGTGAGGCACGCGCCTCCATCCTCAAGCTCCGCCTCCTGCACCCACGCCAGAGCCAGAGCTTCTCTGCCTGGGCTCGTGCAGCTCGGATTGCCTGCGCCCGCGCCCGCCACGCTCTCAGAGCTGTTCTGGCGAAGCCACAGGGAGGCCTCCTCTACGAGGGCGATCAGCCGGCAGGCGAAGGGAGAGTCCCCTGAATCCCGGGGCGGAAGCAGATCCACGCAGAAGACATCGGGCAACTGCCACTCAAGGTTTGAGGAAGCTCTCATCTTCCAGAAGTGACCACTTAGCGAGGATTCCAGAAAAGCCCACTGATACTCACACTGACACAAAGAGGAGTCTGTTGAGCCCAAGTCTAAAAGCTCGACACTGGCCTCCCTTTGGCCCAGTCGAATTGCTGACTGTGGCGTCCATGAGAGCATCACCGGGCCCTCACCGAATGTGCCCATACATGCAGCCGGAGAGATGTCGTCGCCGCTATGGCTGCCACCATGAGCTCCATCTCCGATTTGGGCGGCGGGGAGTGGCACCGTCACACAATGGCCGCTGTCAAGAACGGTGCCGTTGACCTGACACTGCCGCAGCGTCTCCGCAAGACCTCGTATGAGATCGCCTCTCTCGTCGCATGTCCGGTGTCGAAGCAAACAAATGAGCAGCGGGTAGACCCATGCAACTTCCACGGGCTCCTGAACTCCGAAGCACTGCACTTGCTGTACGCAGTCGAGTAGGCTGGACGCAGCTTGATCTTCGCTTCGGAAGAGGCAAGGGTCGTCCGAACAAGTTTCAGGGCTTTCAGGGGAGCTGGAAGAGCCCGCAATGGGCCGGAGCCACTGGACCACGAAGGTCCTTCCGTGTGGGGCTAGGGTCAGGTGCACTGAGCCATCCAACGACGAAACCTCCACGCTTCCATCCTGCCGGGCTTGAGGCGCGTGCGACGGCCACACTGCCGAGGACCGCTCAAGCAGCTTTCCAAAGCATTTCCGGCGTGACTCCACCGCAAGCGACGAGGGATGTGGGTGGAACTGATCCCTCACAGCTGCTGCCGCCATGATTTTGGCGCGCACCTCTGCTCGTCCAAACTGCGGGGAGCATGTCGACAGCAAGCGCTGCCGTCGACCATCGGAAGTGAAGAAGCTTGCCTTCGCAGCATTGGGCGGATGCAGAATGACTGCAGAACCGTCGCTGAAGGTGGCTTCAGCCCTGCCACTGACATACAAGACAAGTCGTTCGAGAACCCAGCTCTCTCCTGCCATCGACATCCGCACACAGTCTCAAGAAACTGTCCATCGACTTTGCTTAGTAGGCTGGTGTGCATGTGTGCATTGACTCACAAACACAAGTGCGCTTGCTATTTGTGGTGGTGCCCTGTCATGACTAAACTTCACTCTCTCTCTTGGCCGCAGCTAACTGTGGTATGCGGTATGCTGTTGCTGTGGTTGGGGCCCAAGTACCTCCTTCACTGCCGCATGCGATCACGAGCGTGCAGTAGGCATCGGTGCAGTGGAGTCAACGCTTCGGTACATTGACTGAGCAGGGAGCGCCAACGTCAGGGCGGAGAGGGCCTGACTCCCATATTCAATGTCAGCTCAGATCCCCATTGCCCAGAAGAGGTCCATGGCCTCTGGATCTGCGCTTTCAGCAGCAGCTTCCTCTCGATCACCGGCAGGTTTCGATGGCTCCTGCCAGTAGGACCACTCACATCCCCTCTTCATGCACATGCATTCGCACCTGCAGCGTCTGAATCTCGATGGGCCCCGCATACCAGGTCTCGTCCAGGCCCGGGCCCCGTAAGTGGCCAGGAGTCGTTTCGACCTCCACTCCTCAAAAACTTCTCTCTGTGTCCATTCTCTCCAGACTCTATGGCCAACGGAGGGCCATGCAAGGGCGGAGGAGCTCTGCTCCTCTGCTCCTCTGCTCTGGTCGTGGCGGCACCGGAGAGCTCCTCACCTCGATGTCCTCCACAAAAGCGCGGGGTGGTTTGCTCGGAGCCCAGGCTCCAGAAAAAACCCTTGGTCCTGTGCCTCGCAGCCCTCCGCTTCGTCCGCGCTCACTACCTGAGGCATCTCAGGGCCGGCTTTGAGGCGCGGTCACGTGGAGGCGAGCCTGGATGTCAGGCACCACGGCTAAGCTGCCACGAAGACAGGAAACCCTGCAGAATGCCCGGGCTTCCCAACATGCATGCAGCACAGCACAGCCACCGCACGTCTGAATCAGCAGGCCTGATCGCGCATTGAAGGACTGCCACGACCTGCTCGGTCGACGTTGAGACCTCATAGATTATCACCACATACCGAGGCATCCTGTAGAAAGCACGGCCAGGACGGCCGCAGAAATATTGCTTGTTTCTCTGAGGTGTCAACCAGCTCCGCAGAAGTGCGATGAAAGGCGTGACTTTGGCCTTTCCTTTTGGCGCGAGCACAGGCACGAGCGACCTGTTCATCCGGTTGAGAATCCATGAGCGTCCGTCTTCAGACTCCTACGTGTATGCCTCAGGCGCCACGTCGAAGCACACGGAGGCATGCACCTCCCGTTCTAGCAGACTTTAGCAGCAGTCCGGCGGAGCATGAAGCCGGCTGAGCCGGCAGGGCCTCTAGTTGCTCCTCTGGCCCCGCTGTGGCCAGCAGCACCCAGAAGGGCCTGACCCGAGGCACCCGAGCGCCGCCGCCGGACTCCGCCTCGAAGAGCAGGGCCTTGCCTTACAGAGCTTCGCTGCGTAATTTCGGTGCCGCAGGATTTGGCTCCGAGCCGTCTTCCAGACGGGGTGTGCGAGTGAAGGTCTCGAGTTCTGCAGCATCCCTCGATCGCGTCCCGAGCTGCCACGGCCCGCGAAGCTCACGGCGCTGGACGGAGCCTCAAACAGAGAGGTTTTCACTCTCTCACCCCGCGATGTTGCAGGCAGCTAGCACTCTACCGATGATTCAGGAAACGACACCGAAGCGCTCTCCGCACTTTCGTCAAGATTCCTCCCGATGTCCCTGCTTGAGAAACACGTAGGCACGCAGCCACCGGTCATGGCTTGCCCGCATCTCGTTTCATGAGTTTCATGATCTGACTTGGCTAGGAGAAAGACTTGCAAAAAGTCCGTCGGCTTCAGATCGGCCGACTCGGCCCACATTTGCATGACATGTCGAAGCCACAGTCCCAGTAGCCAGCGATTCGAAGCTTTGTCCCACGTCCCACTTTCAAGCATCTTCAGTGTTGAATGGACTTGTGATTCTTCACAGGCTTGGCCTGCGGAGGGGGAGCCAACAGCTCTGGTGCAAAGTCCATCGCACAAAGGACCAGCAGCGGAGCCTTCCAAAAAGAAGAACAATGATCTCCATGCACCCCTTTCGGCTCCTCTCCCATGGCCAAGCCTCGATGACAGAGGGCCCGGTCGCCACAGACCTGCATGCACTTGATGCCCCTCAGTTCCCACCCCCCTCACATCGCTCCCCACGTCTCCCTGCCTTTGCAGAACCAGTTCCTTTGCTGCAAACTCCAGGGAAAGGACCACTTTCTCAGCGGCCGTCTCCATGGCAAACCCAAGGCTTGAGGGCCTGTTACTCCAGCATGCCGAGATGGTTGCTTTGGGTTCAGACCACAGCGAAAGAGGGATAGAATGGGTTAGAGCCAGAGCACGATGGACAATGAAACTCGCTGGTGCTGCTTGACACTATCTTCTGGAGCCACCACGTCCAGCTGCCGCAGCAGACTAAAGAGGCAGGGCATGCAGGGACGATGCGCGCACCTATCCGAACAAGTGCGCCATAGTAGAAATAGCTCAAGAAGCCTGGCAGCCAGAGGCAGCCCGGAACCCCGTCCGGACCATCCCCGTCCCAAACGAGCCCTCGAGGCTCTGTGGCGTCAGTTGCGCGGGACTGCTGTTGCCGGTACTGTTGCCTTCAAGCAGAGCCAGACAAGGTTTGCTTAGTCCCAAAAGAAAGCCACAGGCCACAGGCCAGCCGGGCTCGGGAGCCAACTCGCAGAGATGTCGAAGATCGGCTGGTCGAGGAGCCGTGCTGCCAGGTGGTAGACCTTCGTGGACTATGGAGCGGGGTGCTGTAAGACTGTGCTGAGAAGGTAAGACTGTGAAGCTCCGTGCCTTGACTTTCAAGCAGACGCGCAGGAACTCCGAGTGCACCGGCGTCTGTGGTGCCGGGAAGACAAGTGGCCAGCGGTCAGCGAGATGTCTGAAGAGGACTTGGGGTCCGGCCAAGGTCTCGGGCGTGTCTTGCAGCTTTTCCAGGGCGGACCGCAATGGTTTCAGGCTCTTCAGCATCGCCTCGCTTGAAGCCAAAGTGTCAATTGAAACCATGGATGCCAAGAAAGCCGACCTGCTGTCCCAGCTCGATGGCCATCTGAGAGAAGCTCCGGCAAACCGCTGTCATGGGAGATGCCGCCTTCTTGGCCTTGGCTTTGGGTCTCTCCGGCCCAGGCCCTCAGGTGCTCTGCCATTGGCTCCGGCCTGGAGTCCGTCTGCGACTTGCAGGAAGTTGCAGATGAAGGCCTCAGGATTCCCGACGAGGTCCCACCGCACCGGGCCACGCGGAGCGCCACGCAGAGCACCCGACGAAGGTCGCCCGCTGGTTTGAAAACACGGCAGCACTCAGCTGTGCCTTCGTCGAAAAAGAAAACAAGACGTCCATTCAAAATGCCCTGCTCTGCCGGTTGGGCCTGCAGCAGGTAGGCTACGCCTAGGGTGCACTGCCTCCAACGGTGGTGCCATCCAGTAGATCTGCAATGATCCCGCCTTTGACTCTGAGGGTCTCAGGCCAACGCACGGGATCCAGCGCTTGCAGGGCTTGATCGATCTGGGGGGCGTTTGCCTTCACCAGGCTGCAAACTTCTCGCCGAGAGGTCCTTTCACATCTCTGGGCCCTGGGCCTTGAGGGTCTCCTGCTCATGTCTCAGGAAGTCCTGTCAGCTCCGCTCTTTCAGGAGCCCTGCTTCCCAAGCCACAAGCGCAAAAGCACGCCGTCCTTGAGCTTCTTGAGGTCGCTTTCATTCCTTTCGGGCGGGTCTGGTACTAGCCGCTTGCAGCGCAGAATGCAGCATCCGAAGCCACTAGCAAAAAAGTGCTCCTGTGTATCGATTCGTTCGTTCTAGCGAGCAAAGCCACTTCATCCAGTGTGATCCCAGAAAGCGTCCGTTGGCAGCTCGTTCATTACATCTGCTTCTGCTTGCAGCCTCCATTACCTTTTGCCGTTCTGGCTTCAACGCAACGGAAATATACGCGAGACTTCAAGCACTGTACCACCTTCACATTGCAAGCCCAGCCTACTCTACGACGCCTACGAAGTATCTCACCTGCTCCAGAAGTCAACTTGCTCACCAGCAACTGTTTGCCTCGCGCCCTCTTGCTACAACGTGTTCGGCGCACCTGTGAGTGGCTCTGACCACTCGCACGCACAACGTCAAAACATGCGCATACGCCCCAACCTGCCTTGTGTGGCACCAGACATACAGTAACACCAGCCAAGCACAACAAACAACCGGCTTAAACTGCTGCCACCCACTTGGAACCGAGGCTCTGTGTCGATAGAGTGTGAATCTGATGGACGACGCTGTCCATGCCGCTTATCGGGCCTTGTTCGTTGCAGACACCGCCGGAAGGAAAGGCAGACGATCGGGACTTGATGCCATCAGGCCACAGAGCGAAAGGCCGATTCCGTGGCCTCTGCCATCTTGCCCAGTCCCACTTTTGGGACGAACAGCAGCAGGGAGAGCATACTGTAGAAACATGTAAAACAAGTAACCTCTGCATGAACATCATGAACCTCCACTTCACCTGCCACCAACCAACGAGTACAGGTTCCAGAATCCTAATTTTCAGGTCCAAAAACTCTAAGACGCCTTAACATCACACCTTGGGGTCGATGTTCAACCGCACAGAGGAAGAGAAACCCAGATTGTGGCATACGGTGTCGCTCGGCACTTTGGCCCGCGACGCAGCGGGATATACACCCCAGCGCATGCACCTCAGCCCATGAACTCCTCAATGCTCCGAGTCGTCTTCTTCCGAAGCTTCTCCGCAGGCCGGGCCTTCTCTTGCCTTGCAACCTTCTGCGCGTGGATGTGTACAGGATCATGACAGAACTGGCAATCCATGTTCTGGCGGGCAGTTCTGGCAGCCCTTGTTGTGGCCAACGAACGCGCAAGGCTTGCAACCACTGTTGCCGCAAGGTGCTCTGATGAGACGCTCTCGTCGGCTGCAGTGCACGGAAGGAAGGACATTCGACTGACCTTGCAGCAGGTTGTCACTACTCAACAAGCAGATTGAACGGAGCTTGAAAGCAGGTCGCAGAACTTCTCGGCTGCCTAACGGAGCTAGGTGAGATCTCAAGGCAAAACATGCGAACATGCACTACATGCCAGCAAGCGCGATGAATCTTGCAGCCACCCTTGCAGCTTTCTATACTTCGACTGCAATCCAACACAACAGAGCCGCGTCCTTGCATGCGCAATTGGTGCATTTGAAGCTTGTTCAGCTCAGGTGGAGGTCGTCCAGCTCAGCTTCGCGAGCGGTCGCGGGAGCCATGACAACAGCATCAGCTGATTTTGCATCGTCTCGATGCCTGTACTTGAACTTGGCCTGATGGCCACACCCCTCTCACACCCGCAAGGTTAATTATAAAGGCATCTCCGAGAAACTGTGGGATGTCACTATAGCAAATAAACCGATGGAGGACATCAGAGTCAAGAAACTGATTGCTCATTCAAGGCAGTCTATCATGAAGCTGGCTTGGTGTCCGGAATATCTGGCCTGCAAATTGGGTCGAAAACCTCAGCAAAAAACTGCTTAACGGTCGACATTGGTTGTGTCCGGCTCCCCCTCAATGATTGCACACACCGGCTGGATGCACACCTGGACAATTGCAAATTGCAAAACCCAAACGGGGTGTAGAGCACGCGGAGAAGGGCTGGGACCCACGGGGTCCCACCGCGTCCCACCGAACCCAATTGGGGTCCCACGTACAGAAGAGCTGGGACCCACCATATCCCACCGAACCCGATTTGGGTCCCACCGTATGGAAGAGCTCGGACCCACCAGGTCCCACCAAGTACGTGTCGTGAAACGCGCAAGGCTGGTGGTTTTGAGGGCGCGATTTTGGGTCCAGAAAATGCTCGCGCTTCCGGCTTCAACATAGCGTGCCTCCATAGTAATGTTAGTATCGGACTTCTGGAAAAGGGCACGAACAAGGCGCAGAAAAGTGTCGTCTTTGATACCTTAAGCGAGGCTTTGTATCATCAAACCATACACGGAGGCAGGATTAACAAAATCAGCGGACACTACGAGGAGTTAGAAGATGAAGAAGGCGAAGAAGAAGGCTTTGAGACGCATTGGCAGGAGCCTCCGGAGCTAATCGCGACCGTAGAGCCGTAGAGAAGGAAACCGATGAAAAACACTACACAATAACTGTAAGCGACACAACTGGTTTAATTAAATCATTAAGGAACTGCTTCGACAAATCCATAACTTCAGGATGTATGAGGATTACTAGAAGTTGGTAGAGGCAGGGGTTCAGGTCAATTATGTTAAGACAAGACCGACGCGCTTTTAATCAAGACCGCTGATGTAAGGCAGGCTCGGAAGACACTAGCTTAACTTCTCAAAGGAGATCGGTGGCTGGAGAGTTGAGAAAGGCAAGCCCTTTGTAGCCCCAACTGACGACTGCGAAATGAAACCCAACGAACTCGTGAAAATACCGACCTACGAGAACGAAAGGGTAGCAGTAGAGGACGAGTGGGATACTGAGACGATATGTAAGCAAATAGTGGAAAAGAATCTTGCAATCATAAAAGCTACATAGTTCAGGTAAAGAGCTACATAGGTGCGAGAACATGAATACAAAACACAAAAACCGATGCCACAACAACTAATAATACATCCTCTACCAGACTCTACCATACCTAATGAGAAGGGGGACAAAATGGAAGCGTTTGATCACAGTAGCTATGACTGTGCAGTGTTTGATGAGGTGAGTGCGACGAAACAGATCACAGCAAAAAATCCGCCCATCGCAACAACTGAGCATGATGGATGCGCAGCGTCACGGGAAACTAGTCCAGTTGAGGGCGACCAAACGATCAGAATGCAGGTGCTTAATTGTTGCAGGCGGTGTTCATGTCAACCTTGGAGCCCCACGAAAGCTGGACTTCTACGTTGAGCCCCCTTTAATGAGCCTAACGGCAACATCCAAATAAGCTCTAGGGACCCCAAATCAACGGGGACAGTCCCCGTGCTATGATGCATGAAGCTTTCTGAGCAGTTCTCGGGTCTGCTGGGCTCGGTGCTGGAAACCTAAGATGCACAGAGCGTCACACGGCGTAGCGGCTGCCGATAACGAAACAGGCGGTCTTTGCTGCGAGGGCCTAGGGCCGCCTATAAGGCATAGGCATAGCAACGACGTGAACAGTAAAGACATTCACAACAAGTGGTGCAGGCACAACAATGCTGTAATCTAGGAAGCTCCGCGGCGGTTCAGGTTTAGGGCATAGCAGTTGCAGATACGGCATTCTGTTTTGAGCGGCTCTCCTTTTCCAGGCTTCCCTTTAGGAACCCGAGCAGTGGCGAGCGAGACTTCTGGACTTATTCGAGTGCTCAGAGTCGCAGGTGAGGACCTGTCGTGACGTTTCTGCACGGCTCTCGGCGTCCAAACCCGCCGGGCTTCGGGCAGTAGGGCGTCTTCGTCTTGTGCATGTGGTCAACGAAGAGGCAGACATCACCTCAAGGAGAGCAGCTGAGCCGAGGCCTGAGGGAAGAGAGGCACAGCACAGCTTGAGGACGCTTCAGGATTGCTTTCCAAACCTGTCCTCCGGCTTCTCAGCCTTGTCAGGGTGAGAACTTCCAATGCCCCACGATTCGCGGGTTGCATTCAGGCCGGCGCTGTCTTCCATCTCGAGCCGTACATCTGGTTGCACGTCATTGGAACCACAAAGTCACCTCGGAAACCCATGAAGCCAATGAGACTCCGAACGAATTCTAGATTTTGCTAGACCCTTAGGCACGGGCGCGTCGCCCGCGCTATCTTCCTGTCTGTGGCTGAAGACAACCTGTGAAGCGATCTCGGTGCTGCAGTCGGCACCGCAGCACCGCAAGAGCCCGAGCTGCAGCGCAGCGAAGCGCCAGTGCCTTGCCTGGTGCCTTGCCTCTGCCTCTCGGTCGCCTGGCGTCCTGCGAGGGAGGCGCTCGCAGGCCACCAGAAACAAAAAGCCCAGGGATTCGAGAATATAGGGATTATAGGAGCCACAGGCGTTGTTGTGCACGGGCTGGTCGTCAGGGATGAAATCCCAGAGCTGTACCAGATGCTGCTACATGCTGCTGCCCAGCTGCCCTGCTGCATCCTGAACTGTGCAGTTGCGGAACTGTTTCTTCGTCCTGCAGCCACGAGTGCGCTTTCCGGGAAGTCAACAGAGGCCACGGTGCCTAGCACCTGAAGACCAAAGTTGAGACAGGCGGAGCCCTGATCAGTGCACCAAAATTTTGAAGCAGGCCACGTGCAAGACAGCACCGCGAATCCCATTTTTGAACTGTGACCCTGCAGGCAGACCAACTTCTTGCATCTGGGCTGCCCGAGCGGCTTCCCGAACGCCTTCCTCTGTCAGCATGCCTTGCGCAAGCTCCAAGGCTGCCTAATGCTGCCTACTTGCATTTCCGCTTGGGTCCCTGAAACGCTCCACTCTGGTCTAAGCAAACCGTCGACTCGGCAATGGAAGCTACACCCCAGCGTCAGTGCTTGAAGAGTCGTGCTGTCAGAAAGCGTCAACCTCAGAGCAAAGAGCCGGGCAGGGGGATGTCAACGACCGGCCCAACTCCGGGGCTCCTCACAGTCTGCAAGGCGCTCAGAACGACCCGCGGTGTCTCCGGTCCTGGTCGAGGTGGTGGAGGTGCCAGGTCCGTCGCGGACAGCTTTGAGGCCTTCCTGGTAAGGAGCTCATGCAAGTTGAATGCTCAGCCTTCGTCCCTTTGAGACCGCTGCTTGAAGACCCAATCCCAATCTCCTGTTCAAGGATGACCAGCCGTACCGGCGTCGATGCGCGGCTGAGCCTTCGTCCCTTCTTTAGCAAGCTTTAATCAACTGGCATGCCATGTTGGCATCCCACGCGCGCGCTTTGGCAGCACGAAGAGCTCGGTGCTTTGCGAGCATGCATCATCGGCCGGAAGCGCTCATGTATGCCTGAGCACCACACACGCAGCACTTCATAATGGAAAGTTGGATGTGTTGCTTTGAAACTTGGCCTTCTGGTACTCCTCAGCCTGACGCGCATGGGATCGTGGAAAAGCCGAAATAGGACAAGAGTTTCACTGAACTGAGGGTTCCTTCGCGTCCCTCTCGGCATTGAAATCCTCCAGCTGCTGAAAGGCCTCAACACGATCAGAATTGGGATGTTTGCAGTACTCACAGTACAGCTGTGAAAACCTCACACCTAATCTGACGAAGGACGCATGGTCATCACGACTGAATCCCCTTTCCATGGAAAGGCCAGGGCCGTCCCTGTCGCAACCTCTGTGCAGTTGCACACATTGTGAACGCTAGTGACTCGTGAAGAATACTTGGCGCCCTTGAACGACCCAACCCCAAACGCTTAAAGCCAGAAACCCACCAACAAAGCCCGGTAAAAGGAGTCGAATTGTTATTGCCAACCCCAACCCTCCCGGGCCTTTTGCTTCGCCAGGATTTCGTGGATGCCTGGTGGGTACCGGCCCTGACAGTGCCAGCTGCCTGGAGACAGACAAGCATCAAAATTAACGTCGTATCTTGAGCAGCAGTGTATGGAAAAACCTCGGCTTCGATTCATTGCGCAAAACTGTTCAGAGCACGGGATGCACCGTGCTGGAACTAGTGGCTTCGGGTGATTTGGGCGAGCAATGATGCGGGGGCATGTTCCTGTTGCCTGTAAGCGCACCGGCCTTCTCCTTTCAGTGTTGTGAAACTTCGAACAAAGTGTCATCTTTCCGGGTTTCAGTGGGGCTTCCTCGGCACGGATTGCAAACCTGAAGGTCTGCTCCTTCTCGAAGTGTTAGGGTGTTGGATCAGGTCTTTTTGCCTCAACACACGTATAGACTTAGGGTATGCTGATCGCATGCCAATCCTGCAAGTAGAGAAAACCTGGCCCCAGATGGCCACATCGCAAATCGTATGGCGTGCGTGAACGGTTTCTTTCCATTCAAGTCTGTTGCTTCCCAGGTGTTGGAAACAAACGTCTTGATGGCTTTCGAGTAGAGGTGACCGGGTGTCCCGACAACACCTCGCCGCACAGTCGCTTACACATCGAGAGCCGTCACGTCAAGAGTTGCGTCTGTGCAAACTTCCCGGGCAAAGAAACTGCTCAAAACGAAACCCAAGCAGGAACACACCTAGATGTCGAAAACCTTTACCCTACACCCTACCCTCGGGAGGCTATGCCCCGGACCTGGCCCAAGGATCATGGCATAGGAATGTGTTCAGAACGGAACTGGGATATTGAAACATCCACACATGCACACTGCATACAGACGATGTCATGAACAAATAATTGATTAAGGCATGCTCGGCTAGATGCAAGCAGAGCTCACTTCGTTTTGCGTGATCATCGGAATGATGCGCTCTGCACAAAAGAAACTGCACAAGCCTGCAATCTGCCGCCGTTGAGGCGAAAGCAAAAGCAGGTGGAATTAAAGACCCCCTGGGAGGTGAGGGTGGGCAGCTGAAAGACTTGAGAAGAGTATTTCGGTACAGAACATTCACATGCCGCCATCAAAACCCCACTTTGTAGGACTATGATTAAGGCATGCTCGGCTAGATGCAAGCAGAGCTCACTTCGTTTTGCGTGATCATCGGAATGATGCGCTCTGCACAAAAGAAACTGCACAAGCCTGCAATCTGCCGCCGTTGAGGCGAAAGCAAAAGCAGGTGGAATTAAAGACCCCCAAACCCCATATTGCATGGCACTAGGGCTGGGAGGGTGGGAGCTTTTCAGAAATTCGGTGTGTAGTCAGATTGCTGATCAAGTCCTGAGCAAACGGTCTAGGATATATATCTGTGCATGTTTGGTCAGGAATACTCGACGGCTCAAGCCACTCAGATGCAGGTGTGGACGATGAGTGCGCGAGCACAAGCCACGCCCTGCACAAGTCCTCAGTGGAAATGGCTTACAGTTCCATATCAGTAGATTTGTGGACCTTTTCCACGGAACACCGTACTGGCACAAATCAGTGCGAATGAGATGAACATGCCGAAGTCGTAGCAGCCTTTTCATCTGAGGTGTATTCCATAGCATACTGGTTGTTGGATTCTCCAAATAGCCGGGAATATGCAAACTCAAACATTTGCGAATGATTTTGTAGGCACCGTAAAGCATCCTGTTTGCATTCTGCACTTTGATTCTGTCCCGCTCACAAAGGTCAGGCAATCCGAAGAGTTTCTGACCCTGAGCTCCGCGCAGTGGTTCGGGCATTCCTGAACCGGGTTTTCCCCTCCTCGCACGACTCCATGTGTTGCAAGGAAGATCAATTCCTACCAGATCGAAATTCGGAAGCTGAAAAGATATGTCATTCCATGAGGCGAGCTTGCTCAGGTCATTTTCCTTGCACTTCTCGATATCGATCACAGCTGTAGTGCCCCCAAGGTGTGTGAAGGCTTTTGCGCATTCCCCCACTCCTCCAAAAAGGCTCAGCATGATGGGGCTTTCAGCCCCCGAGGCAGGACCACTCCACCATTGTGGTAGAAGCTTGCAAAATTCAACCGGATTTTCTCTCCGAAATCCCGGTAACGACCTTCGTACATCGACGACATCTGTTGGAGTCTCCCTGGCTTGTCGTAGATGCGTGCCGACGAATCGCTGGCCCATCGCCCTCTGCGACGGATCTCGGGAATCGAGCGGAGGCCCTTCAAGTGATCCCGGCTTGCACCTCCATGCCGATTTTGATAAGGGCTTATTGCCAATCCCTCGATACCCAGGGTGGCAACACACGTCCTCCACACACTGAGGTACTCCTTGGCATTGAACGTCCACAAGCTCGCCTCCACCCCATCGGCTTTCATCCTCTGCTTCGCCAGATGGTGCAGAAGCTCCGGCAGGAAGGGGGCCCGCACATCGTCCAGAATAAGGACCTCGTCGAAAACCCCGGCCTTTGAGGACTCTCCCCTTTCCATGGGGCCCAAGACTATGATCGAGTGTTCCTGCTCCCGGGTGGCCATCACCACGTCCACCGCACCAATGCGAAGCGTTTCGCCAGGGCGCGCGTAAGTCGAGTAGGTGACTTCGTTGAATAAAGCCATGTCTCTCTTCTTCATGGCCAGCATCAACCCGCTCACGGCAGACTTTAGGAATTCGATCATGGGCATTCTCACCTGACTTGGCGCGAGTCGTCTCCAGCCCTTCAGCGAACGACGGAGGCGGGGAAGTTGCAAAGTACCGGCTCGAGCGAACTCCGGCCGGGTGTATTCGACGGCCGCCATCAGCTTCTCGCCGTAGTTGCTCCCGTAACCGTCCAGGTAGAGCAGATCTGCGTACTCGCACAAGGCTGCGTCCAGCTGCCTTTCGGTGGCAGTCGGGAGTTCGTACTGGGCGAGGAAGCTGTAGAAACCGTCCAACTTCTGCAAGTAATCCCGCCGCTGGGGCTCCTTTATCGAATGCATCTCCAGAAGCCCCTGTTCTCCGCGAGTGGCCCTCAGGCGCATTTCGTACTTCCGTCTCCTTTGCACTGCCTTCTCTTTCCTCTTCTTGTGGGTGGCTACCAAGTCCTTTAAGTTCAACTTCGGGTGAATGTGTCCACTCCTCATCGGCGAAGGCCTCGGCGACGCTCGAGGTGGCGGCGGGGACGTGTTGCGACCCCCTGTGATCAGCCGCTGATTCGTCGCCTTGACCTCCTCCTTGGTGAGCACCTCCACCTTCCGCTTCACAGCCACCGGCCGGGACATGGCTTCGAGACAAGTCTCCGAAAAAGGGGTCGGCCGAATTGTCCTTTCTGTACTCCGAAGCCTCAATTCGGCCGAGGCCATTTAAGGACCGAAAATCCGGGGTTCCAAAAATCCCGGCTGCTCGGGCTGCCTTTGGATCCGGTTCCCAAAGTCGACTGTCCCTATCTGCCACGTTCATTTCTGAAGGTACCCATCTAACATGCACCCGAGTCCCTGAGGCCAGGAGGTGAGCACTTACTCGGCGCACCACTCGAAGCAAGCCAAAGTTACCGCACCTGCCCTTCTGCATTGCCAGCACAACTCCCATGTTATCATTTAGGATCACGTGCTTCTTCCCATGGGTGCGGCTGTCTCGGACAATATGCTTGACTGCCCCAAGAATGCTCCTAGCCTCAATCATATGAACAGGCTCCTTGTGGTGCACAGGGGTGCACCAAGTCCTCGACCACTTGCTGTCCTCCATGACCTCGGGCAAAACATCAGGAAACGAGGGAGCGACCTCCACGGGTCGGGGAACTTCACCATCGACTTCAGGAAGAACTGTGAGAGGATCCGAGAACACCCCCGCAGTGTCAAGGGCCTGGCGCCTCGGAGCATTCACGTAGCCCTCGCCAAGCCGGAAACGCCACCTTTCATCATTTCGGCCGATCTCTCTCACAATGGACTCCCCTTGACAACTCGACATCACCGCGTATCCACTCAGGCAGGCGTCGGTGCAAAACATGGTGGAACTCCATTCTTGCTTTATGCTACCTTGACCCAGAGTCATGAGGTGACGAAACATGTAAAGCTCCTGCCTCACGCTGCCCCACAAAGCTGTACGGACCTCATAGTTCTGTTCGATGAACGCATAGCAGTGACGCATAATCCCCATAAGGCCCCGGCGCAAAAGTGCTCGTACTGTAATGTGTCCCACAATGACCTGCAGCTCCTTTCCTGAAAGCTTCACCCGACCATTGCAAGCACCCAAAGCACGGTCCAATCGCCAATCCCTCTTGGGCGTGGGCCCCACTGTCCCGCTGAGCCCGTCGATGCGAACCCCCAGGCTCTCGGCGAGATTGCTTGGTGCCTCCACGTCATGTGTGTCGAGACCACATCTGTGCAAAGTTCCCATGACAACATCTTGGTCGGACTGCACACACTCCCTGTCAATGCCCACATGATTGTTATTGTCAGCATAAATGAGCATGGCTGTCAAGCCGTCGCCACCTGCATGCTGCAAACGGGGAGCCACCGAACGGTCTCGAAGGAGCTTCACCTGAGGCAGGGCTTGGTTGGCCAGGTACGTGTGAGCCTGGTGCGCCAAATGGAAGGCCCAAGAAAAGCCCATGGGAAGCACCGCCATACACGGAAATATCGGCGCCTCATGGGCGTCAATCAACTCGGCAACCTCCTTTGGCAAGGTCCCCATGACCTCCATCAGGACCTGTGGGTCAATCACGGGAAGGCTGAAGAACTCACCTAGCTCTAACGAAATACCGAGTCGGTAGAAGTAGTCCTTCACATCCTCCTGCGCAATAAACACATCAGCATCCCGGGGCACCTCCAGACGAGTCCATGTATCGACAGATCCAAGCAACGTGGAAGGCGGGGTGCGAAAGAGTCTGTTTGTACGTCTTGCGTCTATTATCAGCCTCTGTTTGTTGTTTTTCTTTGTCACTGCGAAAGCTCCTATCTGTACCTTCGGGCTGCAAGTGAAATGGAGCAGGTTGCAGGCATATAGCTCGGCAATGAAGCGATGGTATTCCCGGCTGTTGTGCTGCAACACCGGATCCAGGAAGCACTCATCCGAAAACCCCCGCTCAATCACTGCAGCCCTC